AAAACCAGCATTTTGGGTGTTCCATGCTATCAGATGATCTTTATTGACTCTATTTAGAGATTTATGATAAATATTGATGAGGAATGCATTCTTGGGACTAAGTAAATAGTTGAAAATGCTTCATTTTTACTTATCTAAACCTATTAGAGCTGATACCTCAGTATTCCCCAGATCAGGTGGAAGAGCCAAGGTAGAAAAAGCATGTGTAAAAGTCCATTTCAGAAGGATATTTTATTTCCACCACATTTTTTGAAAGAAGACATTGCCATAAAGTGAGTGAGCATTTCTGTCATTACAGAGTAGTTTTTCTGTAAAAAGCCAAGTGAGAAATGAAGTGTCCTGTCCTTCTCTGAGTGTTTTGTAAGATTTCATCTGTTAATGAACTAAAGTCATGCTAGTATGTTAACCAGAGAAATTAAATTAAAAGTATTAATGATATCTTGTGTTGTTCTTGCTGCTGAAAAGTATTTCTTGTCACAATGCCTGTTTGGGTAATTACAAATTAAATTCTTAATAGGAATTCTTTGCTCTGAGGAGACTTCAGGTTCTCCTTTCCTGCTGTTTGCCTGTTGGCAGATTGTGCCAGAATAATGGTCCTGTTCTGGAAAGCTTAACATCAAATTCATCTTCTTGGTGTCAGGCCAAAAATAAACCTGACACATAAATCATAAATCTCTTTAAAAGTCAGGTAAAATCATTCTCCATTGAGTGACTGCCAATATATTTGTTGTCATTATTTTCCTACTTTTTAGAATGGAGCTGCTTGTGAGCATAGAATTATTTATGCAATGACATGTTGTTATTCTTTAGATACTTCTCTGTCCAAAATAAACTAGTATTTTCTCAATTTTAATAAAAGTATTAAGGGAATGGAAAGGGAGCTGCCACCTGTCTTAAAGCCCCTAGCAGTCCGTAGCAGTCCATGGTTGCATCTCTAACAGTTTGCAATTTTTTTTTTAAGAGCAATAATGACATTTCATAGCATGAAAATGGAAGAAATTAACAAAATAATTCGTGACCTGTGGCGAAGCATTTACAGAGGACAAGGTATGTAATAATATTTTTTTAAGTTTTGCCCATATGTATCTATTTGATAGTGAGCAGTGCATAAGGAAGAGTGTTTGTTTGCAAAATGGGAAATAGTTGGTTCCATTCTAAAGGCTGTATCTGTTCTTCAGCACTATAATCTTTTTATTGCACATGCAGGATAAATAGAGTTAATTTTCACTTTTCTGTGTTTTCCAAAAGTTAGGTTTCTTTGTGAGAGGACAGTGCATGAGTTCATTCCTTCCATTTTGGAAAAGTTAGTTTCCAATATGGATCTATCAGTGGGAGTTCTGAATGGGATTTTTATTATTACTACATATTATACCTCTCATCTCCCATTAATCCTATGATATTTTTCAAGATTTTTCATAATGTACAAACTCTCTCCCTCCCATTTTCAGATATTGAATATATAGAAATTCGCTCTGATGCAGATGAGAGTGTCTCAGCCACTGACAAAAGAAGAAATTACAATTACAGGGTAGTAATGGTGAAGGGAGATACAGCACTGGATATGCGAGGAAGATGCAGTGCTGGGCAAAAGGTAATGGCTCTTTATCTCCAGTACACAGCAAGAGGGATTCTGAAAACTGACTCTGATGAACGCAGAGCAGTCAAGTGACCATGGAACAAGCAGCTCCAGCTCTAAGTTATTATTGTGTACAACTTCCCTTCACTCTCTCTGGGTGTTACACAATATGTGACTCAACATCTGAACCCTGCTTTGGGCTGCCAAAATCCATTGATCCAGGTGGGCACTAGGCTGATGCCCTGCAGGAGTGAAGGGTTTGGCTTCCTCTGTCCTCAGGTTCAAATCCCCCCATTTTGTCTCTTCGTGGTTACCACTGAGGTTACCTCAGCTTCAGGTCTATTGATTTGCTCCCTGGTTTTTTTGTGTTGGTTTTTTTTTTTTTTTTTTTTTTTCTGAGCCCTTGGTCTTCCTTTTGCAACTGCATCTACTTCTGAGTTGATAGGATCTCTCTTCCTCCAAATTAAGCTGCTTTCACCTGCTGCTGAGTACAGCCTTTCAGTTCATGTCACCAATATCACACCTAGCCATACTTCCAGGCATTGCATTTCCTCCTGTGCTGCCAGCTTGCAGCTCTGTGGGCTGTCCATTCATCTTCAATAACACACACTGGCCAAGTGGCCTGATGACACACCAGCTGTGACAATACCTGTGGTGAGAGTTCATCACAGTTAACCACACCCACACATGTTGAGGGTTATTTCCACCTGTCTGTTCTATTAAATCTATCCCCTCCTAGAGTAGTTTAGGATGTTGCGTTACAGTCCTATGTAAATGAGAGTGAAACTTGAACAAGTTTCTTAGCTGAAATTCTGAGAATTCTTCTTTGATGATGAAATGTGATGCCAGCAGTTGTGATAATTGGAAAATTTTTTTGGCAGCAGTTTCCATTGAGTGTTCTGTAGTTTTTAGTAGTTCAGGAGATCTTGTAAATATGATTATGTGTGTTGATGCAAAACTAACATAGAAGGTGGTAAATCCTACTGTCTTCCATTATAGTTAGAAGTCAGGAGTTCAGTAACTCAGTAATACGCAGACAAATTTCCACCTGCTGCAGTGGGGTGGGCTTAAGCAGAGTGTAGGGGTAATGAAACTGGCAGTGTCATAGTGGCTTTACTTCAGATCAGAATCCTTACTTTCTTAATTGAGTGTCTTCTCAATTTTGAATGCTTCTTTGTAGAGTCAGTCTTTGAATTCAAACTAGAAGCTTCAATGTAGTTTTTCAGTAATCAGTTAGCTACTGTCATTTTGTGAACTGTCAGCACGTTGTTCTGTAAACTTCAGTCACGGTTTGTAATGGCATTAAAAACAGGCTGTTACGTGTAGATCCTCGTGTTGAAGCTTGAGATTTTTGTGTTTTTTCCTTTCCCCCAGGTGCTTGCTTCTCTCATCATTCGCCTTGCTCTAGCAGAAACATTCTGTATCAACTGTGGCATTCTGGCCCTGGATGAGCCTACAACCAACCTTGACCGAGAAAACATCGAGTCCCTGGCACATGCTCTGGTAGAGTAAGTGAGCTCTCCTTGTGATGCTTTACTGTGGGTATTTTTCAATGCCCATTTGGCAGTAGTGAATTATTTTTTAAGCTGGCTTATCTTTTTTGTGAGTAATTTTAGATTCCCTCTCTATCTGGAAAAGAAAAAGGTATTTCTTATGTAATTTGAGGGGTTTTTTTAATGTGGTTAAAAAGAGTGGGTAATCAGCATTAGATTACTCGATGGTTCATATCATTCATTATCAATAATGAAATGTTTTTGTGCTGTGTTTCTGCAAGTTCTCTGATGCTACCATGGGATTTAGGTAAATGCACACTCGATAATATCTCTTTGTAGGATAATAAAGAGCCGCTTACACCAACGCAACTTTCAGCTGCTGGTGATTACTCATGATGAAGATTTTGTTGAACTTCTGGGCCGTTCTGAGTATGTGGAAACATTCTACAGGATAAGGAAGAACATCGACCAGTGCTCTGAGATCATGAAATGCAGTGTCAGTTCCCTAGGCTCCTATGTTCATTAGAATGCCAAGTAATTACATATTATAGACAGGCTAACCTGATAGATTATACACTGCCTGACTTGATAGAGCTCAGAGTAGGTGTCTGAAAATGTAGTTCCTTCCTATCACATTCTACTGAAGCTTTATAACAATTTTAGCCAGAGTCTAAAACTGTGAGACTTTTAAACTTCTTACCTTTCTACATATTTCTGTGCCTAGACTTGGGAAGCACCATAATTTGAAAGAATTTAAATGGGTGCCAGACAGTTAAATTTTGATATATTTTATGCTTTAAAAGTGAAAATAAAGTTGTGAAGTTCTTTTTGCATGTTGTGTGGGACAAGTTGCACAAGTTGCAGATTCTCTGAAATAGCTGCAGCTCTGCCAGGGGAGTAACAGCTTGCTCTTCATCTCTGGCAAGGTCAGCACTGACGGGTGTCACTTTGGTTGAAGGTGTGTTCATTGCTACCAACCTAATCTACCCAAAATTGACAAGCTTCAAAGAGAACTTTTACTACTTTCTCTACAAGCTAACCTAACCCTGGCTGTTCAAAGACAGAATAAAGCAAAGGCCCATCGCTAACCTGATGAATGGTGAATTCTCTGTTCAGTGAGTTATGTCCTGTTCTGATTCTTCATGGCAGCGTCTGCAAATGGGAAAATGGAGCGTAAGTGTCTCAGAGATTAGTGTAGGTGCTGAGCTTTGCCTGCCCTGCTCTGAGCTCTTCCTGAAGCTCTTTTCCTTGGTGTGACAACAGCTAGGAGCCCTGCAGCATGGCAGCCTGAAGCAGGGAACCTGCTTCCTAATGGGAGGGACAGGGAAAGCCATTGGGGTGGCCTGCTCAAAATGAAAGGGCCTGATCATCAGGAGTCCTGAGGTTGCACAGAGCATGCCTTGCTGCTTCCAAAGCCATGCAAACACTGAGGGAAGGAATTTCTGGATTCCTGTTTCTTTGTAAGCAATTCAAGGATCTTGAATTCTTGGTAGGAGTCCACAAGCAGAAGCTAGACTTGCAATTCTTTAAATCCTTGTGATCAGCAGTGAGGGGCTGACCCTCCTCAGCAGTGTATGACCAAAGCACAATTTCAGAGGAAAAATCTTTAAATCACCATTAAAGAAAGCTAATTTCTGTAACATCATTTCTCTTTGCAGATGCTTAAATGAGCCCAAGACCATTGCATGTTGCCTGTGTCGCTGTTGAGGCAGGACGGGAATGAATAGATTTGATTTGGAAGGCTGTGAGAGTAAGACTCTGATTTATTCAAAATACCCTCCTCTTTTATACAGAGCTTCATGAGGACCAACTCCATTGGTCCTGAAGTGAAAACAAGCCACAGCATTGGTGCAGAGTGCTTGATGCACAGTGATAGAACTTAACTATAAACAATGTGAAAACAAGAGAGATAAAGAATTATTTACATTCTTCTCCAGCTCTTTCCCAGGCTTTTTGCCTGGCTAGAAACTCTCCGTTTCTTTCTTTGACTGAATCTGAGTCCCACATGCCTGCCTTCTCTTCCAGGGTGCAGGAACCCCTTTATTTTACAGGGATAAGGAGAAGGTGGCAGGGGAGGGGTGCAAGCAGACCTGGCTTGTGCAGGCAGGGCCTGGGGCTGGCTCAGCATGATGGACCAGGGCCTTTGCCCCTGAGGATGGTGCAGCTGAGCCCCTCACTTGCCATCACACACCTCTCACACCGCCTGCTGAGGAGTCTGGATATCTGCACAGAAAAGGACAGAGCCCAGGATCCCCCAGCTCGGGTTCTTCTCCATGGCAAAGGCTCTTAGGGCCCTGCCTTGGCCAGGGTCGATGCTGTAGGTGTCTTAAAGAGTAATGGCAGAAACCAAGATCTTCGGCTAAAGATTATTTCTACCTAAATTTTCCAAAACTGCAATGTCAGTGACCCCAGTCATCGGGAAACTACTCAAAGATAAGAAAACGAATGGGACTTCCTAGCAATTACGCTTTCACCAATTCCCCAAAAAAGCACTGAGCACACAAGTGGGGAGGGAGAGGGGAGAACAGGGATAGGAAAATGCTACTAACCTACACTGTGTTTGCAGTTTTAAATAAGAAGCTTCACTGACTCTAGTACTACTTCCTGAAGGGAAATTTTCTGAAAGATATAATCAACAGGAAAAAAAAAACTGCTTTGTCTTTTCAAATTTGCCTGTACAACCTATTTATTTTAGCATGACACGTACACCCCAGCTCTGCACCGTCACCAGAAGTGACTCCCCAGCCTTTGTAAATTCTGTCCTGCATTTTTTCCAACTTAAGGCCATGGCTCACAGTTCCTCTAAAAGTACTTTGGGCACATTTTTGCCTAATTGGCCTTTCCCAAGTTTATCCTCACGTGTACTTTGACTTTAAACAATTTTCCAGAAGACAGGGAAAACACAGGAAATATAGTGGGAAACAAACCTCTCCTATATCAAATCAACTAAAATTATTTCCAAAACTTCACTGAATAATTTGAATAATCCATAGGCTCCTTGACAGCCAACAGCACAGAAAAGAGACTGCGCCAGCCCCACGGTTTTTATGTGGCCTGGATAATAAAAAATGTGTTTATGTGAATCAGGTGTAAGAGAAACTTCAGGCACTTCCATGATAACTGTGCTGCTGCGGGACACCTTGGGAGGGTGAGGGCAGGAGTGGCCCTGGCTGCTCTGGTGGTGGCAGTGCTGCCAGCTCGGCCGTGCCCAGGGAAAGCAGCAGCAGATGGGGCAGGGGCATCCCTGCCCTGCCACGGGCACAGCCACCACCCGCTGTGGGAGGGTGGCACAGGAGCAGCACGTCCCAGCACAGGCGTTCTTGTCCCTACGTGGTGATACACAAAGAGCAGAACCAAGCAGAGACATTTTATGGCAAACAGGACACAGATTTATTGTTGTAACTCTCTGGGCATGTGGCAAAGTGGTGAAGAAAGTTTCTGTCCAGCTCCCATTTTGGTGGGAGTGAGGGTGGATTTCCAGCAGGGAGACCACAGTACCCAGCCTCCAGACAGCAATCCATGCACTCGCCTCACAGGAACACACACACACTCTTCACCACACCGTGATTAAGAGCCAAATATAACAGCTGCAAAATAACAAAATTATCAAGTCAGTGGTAGGGAACTGAGCTGAGATTCAGGCACTTGCCTGGGATGGTAATTGCAAAGCCACTTGTCTGAGAGACCAGAACACCCACTGTGCCTGTTGGCCTGGAAGGGTTGGCTGGGTGCAAATCCCTTCCAAGTGATTTAGTCTGGCTGCAGCCTCAGCCTGGAAAGTGCTTTTGAAACCGGGGATCTACAGGAGATGGAGCCTTTGGCGTGCTCTGCTCAGGTGAGAGACTTCCCTTCCACCTCTGTGCCACAGCTTCCATTTCTTCAGTACCATGACCACTTCTGCTTTGTCTGCACTTAGTCAGCAAGAAGTACTTTCACTAGGAAGAAAACCCAGAGGTCTCCAAGACACTCCTGTCTAAACACTTTTTTCTAAGTGGAATTTACATTAGCAATAGAAAACCAATACTTTGATTTTCTGATGCTTCCTTCAGCATTAGTTCTGCAGTACAACTCTGCTGCCTCTTCACAGGCTGCTGCGTAACACCTGCCCTGAAGTACTTTGGGATTGGAAACTTCAGAGAAGGTGAATTTCTAAATTATTTTTTTTAAACAAAAACTGCTTTATGACCTGCCTGAAGTAAAATGCTGTCTTATTTAACTCACTAGTCCTAGGTAGTGAGTTAAATAAGTTAAATAACTCATTACTCCTAGGCAACTTCTCCATGCAGCTTTCTCCTTCGTGCCACATTTTAGGCAAAGAGCTCTTGCATGCTCTAGAAATTACATTAAAAAACACAAGCAGATGAGCTTATCTACAAATAAACACCACAAACCAAAGCAGTAAATATAGATGATGCATTCAAAAGCTTAATCATTTGCTGTCTCCCTGCCACTTTGCATTTAAATGTCACACCAAGTATCATCTCATCTATTTCACTATGACAGGGTTTGCTGCCCTCCTGGGCAATCTACCAGGAGACAGCATTTACTCTCTGCCTACTGCAAGATGACACCATTGGGGAATACCATGCAATTTGCAAATTCTCCTTCATCGGGCTCCATCCTATTTGTGTCATTTGATCTATGCAGGAAAAGTGAATTTCTGGAGCTGCACCCTTCCCACCAGCTGCAGCAGCTGAAGGAAGCAGGAAGGTTCCAGCCCTGCCAGCCCTGCACAAGGGAGAACTCACTGCTTGTAAAGCCAATAAACCCAACCACTGATTCAAGAGATACTACATGTGCTGATGCTATACATTGTGCTGTGACCCACATTTGGGTTTTTTCAGCTTATAAAATGTTTTATTTAATTGCTCTGCTACATAAGGAACAGCACAAATGAGAGAATGGCCTGGAAGATGTGTAGTGGCTTCTCCATGAGGATTTCATAGAAGGCAACGCTGGAACAGTGTTGAAAATGAAAAAATGGTTAGTAGGGTCATCCAAAATCAGCCATCAAGGACAAACTGAAGTTATTTATATCACCTCAATTAAAGCATTCCCTGGACCTCCTGAGTTCTGACATTGTTTCTTAATGCCATGACCCCATCCTGTCCCTCCACAAATCCTCCACCCGCCACAGGGATGAATTTGGCTGCTAAAGCAAAGGTGGGAAGGTGACTCAGGTGCCTCCCTGTGCTCAAACTGCCAGGGAGAGAGAGCTGAGCCTGAGGAGCCTGCAGGGAAAGGAAAGGCACCTGGCAGAAGCAGGTTCCTTTCTTGCCAGCTGTGCTGGGGTCCTCTTCCCATGCTGAGCCATGGCCAAAGCAGCTGGGTGGGATCAATTCCACTCCTCCTGCTGGCCAGCAGCCACTGGGATGGCCCAGTACCAAGGGGAAATTACTCCTGTTTGACTGGGGAGGCACAAATTCAGCCCAGCTAAAATTATGGACTGGCATTCCCCCATTTCCTACAGAGCCCGGGCAGAGAGGGGAGCACTGCCCCAGGGAGCTGCAGCCCTGTGAATCTCACAGCCATTGGTCATCCCCATTTCTTTCCATCAATTCCATCCATGTCCACCAAGGCCATCCCATGCTGATCGTGGCCATGGCTCCAGCCAGCCCCTCTGCTCTTCCTTTGTGTGTGGTGGTTGTAGCATCCAGCCTTTGCTTTGCTGCTGGAAAAATAAAATAAAACTAATAAATATGCTTTGGCTTTGGGTACAGAACAAAGCCAAATTTTTGGGTTTGGTTGCACTAAGGGTCTCTTCAGATGATTTCTCTCTTTCCTGGTGTCATGTCAGAGGTGCAGCTGTGGAAAGGCCCAACCAATGCTGGTCCAATGTTCACCATCACCCCCTGGGCTCTCCTCCACATGGGGGCAAGGGGACCATGGTGTACCTAAAATAACCACTTGGATAATTTCCCTGAATTGCTTTGGACATACTTGGGGTGGTTTAAATCAAGCATGAAGAGCATGGAGTGGCAAGGCAGGGTGGGCACAGACCTCCAAGACCCCTCTGTATTCTGCCTCTGGCTGCAGCTGGACACACATGGCAAAAAACAGAAAAGCAAAACCATCTCATCTATGAAAAGTAGGCTCCCATACCTGGGGTTCTGTGTCCACTCTGATCACCAAGAAGCACTTGGGTGTCCCAGCACCCCAGTCCCTTGGGGAAGGGCAGTTTGACTGACCAAGGCTCTTGGAAGGAGCTGCTTTGGTTCCCTGCAGCTCCCATGCTCCTGGTAGCTCTGATCCTCTCTCACAGGAGCCCCCCAGCCCCCAGTGCTGTTTCTCAGAACTGAGCTCCACTTTCTAGCTATCATTTTCTACCCCCACGACCCAAATTGATACATGTCAGCCTTTCCCATCAGCAGGTTCATGTTGCATTATCAGTAGTTTAGGGAATTACTTTATCTGCCTCTGGGGGTGGTGGCCTATTCTCTCCAATGCATGGTGTGCAGAGTGGGGTAACCCAAAACCATGGAACCCCCATAGCCCCCCATAGCCCTGTGACCCTGCTGGGACACTGCACCAGGGCACAGTGGTGGGACCACAGGATCTTTCCTGGGGTCATGGTGCATCCTGCTGCAGCAGTTTGGCTCAAGGGAGCCAGGGACAGTGGCTTGGACAGGTGGAGATCACACACTCTGCACTGTGCAGCCCTGGAGATACACCAGCTCCTCCACCTGAAGTGCTGGGAGCACTCCAGGCTCCCACCTGGCTCTGACCCAGCCTCTCCAATTCACAGGAAATTCAATGTCTGGGAACTGTCACCATCTTTTTTTTCAGGAAAACAAGGTTTGTCAGGCTAATACAGGAGCAAATGGTGAGTGCTGCAGTCCAGTCCTGCCACTGCAACCTGAAGTCAATGGTCATCCCATGGAGAAGGAGTGCAGTGCAGTGGGAAGGGGTTGTTTGAAATGTGAAGCTCAGGCTTCCTCAGGCTCCCTCAGGCTCTGTGACACCTCGACTTCACTGAAAATTTGGGCAGAAAAAAAAAAGGTTTGAACTTAAATGTTTCTATAGTTTCTAATTCATTTAACAGTTTGCACTATTTCTAAGCTTCTAAGCAGGTGCCAGCTGAAGTTGGGCTTCCCTGGCCAGGGTTTGCTCCAGCTGGGGCAGCAGCACTGCGGGGCCATGGGGAGCTGGTGACAGCAGAGCCACAAGGTGCTGCTTCACTTGGGCATGCAGGAGGAAGCAGCAAAAGTGGTTTAAGAATTTGGAGAAGAAATTATCCATTTTGTCAAGTCAACTTTTTTCCCCACAAAATTTCTGCTGGCAAGACCAGCCATGGTGGGAAACAACAATGGATTTTTGTCTGTTCTCTTGCTCAAGGAATAGGGTGGTTTGAAATCCTTGAACTACTGTTGGTTTTCTGATGTCCCCATGGATGCCATGAGAGGGACAACATGGCATGGCATGGGATGGCATGGAACAGCATGGGACAGCATGGGACAGCATGGGACAGCATGGGACAGCATGGGATGGTGTGGGACACCAAGCTGGTCGCTGCCAGAGCCGTCCTCCCACAATGGGATTTGTGCTACAGAGCTGAGTAAGTCCTGCTTGAAACCAAATACCCACATGCCAGAAAACACCCTCAGCTACCCCTTCCTTTACAAACAAGAGCACTTTTTTTTTTGTTTTGCATATGTTTAACATCTTGATAAAAATGTTGAGGTTTTCTTTTCCTTCAAATCTTTGATGACTCGAGCTTGCTGGGGTTACTGCTATTACGGCCAAAGGACGTGGATATTTTCTGGCACACAGTTCAGAGCTCCAACAGCATCCCTGTGACAGGCCCTTCCCTCAAGGCTGCTCTTGCCCATGATTCCCCTTTCTGGTCCCAGCATGGCCCAGGGAGCTCTGGGAAAAGCTTTGCAGCAGGAGAGGTCCAGGCACCTGCTGGTGCCATGCCAATCCTCAGGAGACACAACACCTGAGGCAGGAGCCTGGCAGGCATCCAGCCATGCACATTCTAGAGCTGATCCTTCTGCATGACTGCTTGTCTTTTCCATTGTGGAGACCAGGAAAGCACCAATGGATATTTGTCTGCACATAAGATCATGCCTTGACTTTACTCAAGCCCTGCAACGTGCTTGGTTCAGTCCTGCACGTGTCCATGGTTTTCCACATACAGCACATTACAAGCACGTCCAGTAGTAAATAGATCCTTGAACACTGAAAAGAAATTCTCATCTTCTCATCCCAGTATCTCCTTGCCTATCAGTTAGGTGATTAAAATCTGCATGTATATATATAAAAATAGATAAGGTATGGAGAAGTCTTTGCCACCATTACATAATGCCCTTCTTTGGGGTGTCACTTCCCACTGCATCCTCTGCTGCACCGGAAGACACCTATATTTGGCAGTGGCAATGGAGACACAGGTCCTGCTCCACACTATAAAAATGGTGCTGCCTCAAGCAGAGAGGCAGAGAGCCCCTGGCCATCCAGCCCAGCCAGCACAGGACGTGCCCAGACAAGGGACACAGAATGCTCCCCTCACTGAAGACAGCTTTCACTCTACTCTCCCTGATCCAGCTCGTCTCTTCCAGACCCGTGGCTCCATCTCCCCAGCAAATACTGAAGGAGATCATCCTCCTGATCCAGCAGCTCAACTCAGGAGTGCAGGTAAATGTTGCTACACCCCTCAGCCTCACTTTGCTTCCTGACCTCATTATTGATGATGATGATGATGATGATGATGTTCTTCAGTGTCCAAGGCCAGCTACTGGACTGCCACCACAGGGACTGGTGCCCATCTGGGTGGCAGGAGCCTTTCCTGCTGGTTCAATCCACTCTGTCCCACTTGGGGCACCCTGGCCCATTTCAGCCTAGACTTTGTGTGATCAGCACTTGATGTGGTGGTACAAGCAGCTCCTGGGGTCACGTCAGACAAAGTTTTCCACCTGACATTAGCTACTTTGCAGAAAAAAAAGTGCTGAGGAACAAGAAAACTTTCTGTGTCAGGGTGACAGAGGCAGCTTGGGGACATGGACATGGTGGTCTGAGCAGTGTCAGCTGCTAGGGGATCCCTTCTCTACTCCCACTGAGCACACAGGGGTTCTCCTGTGCCTTCCAAACAAGTGCTGTACAAACCCAGGTGCTGTGTCCAGGAGCCAGTGTGGAAACAATTTGCTGAAAGATGGATCTCAGTGCTGGCAGCACCAAGGGTGCATCCATGCCATGGCCTGCTGGAGAGGGATGGACACGTGGTGCCCCTTCCTGGGAGAGGGCACAGTGGGTGGCTCCGTGGGGATGGTCTCACAGTGATGGTCCTACAGTGACAGTCTCATAACCATGACTCTCCCTTGTGTTGCCTCTCCAGGTCCCCTGCAATGACACCCGAGTGGCACAGGTTGCCTTCACGGATCAAGAGGTAAATACCTATGTAGACATAGAAAATGTATTTATCATCAATCCAGACACAGCTGTGCCTCCCCATGGGGCACAGCAGCTGTAGCTGAGGTAGCTTTATCAGTCACTGAGGGGTTGCTCAGTGCCAGTCTCTGGGGGGAATGTGCAGCTCCACGCTGGCTGTGCCCGAGCCCCTGCCTCCAGCCCACGGCTCTGCCCCAGCTCCCCACAGCTGTGGGGCACAGCCCAGGCCACTGCTGTAACATGAGAGCACATAAAGAAGTCACTGTGGAACCTCCTCCCAGCCCTGGACACCTGAATAAGCAACTTCAACTTCATTCAGCCACATGGTTCTAATGGTTCCCCTCCGTGTTGCCCAGGTGCCAGACCAGGAGCTGCTGTGCCAGGCAGATGTGGCACTCACTAAAGTCACCAGGTGCAGGGAGACCTACGAGCCGCTCATCATCAACCTGAAGCGCCTGCATGGCAAGAAGGTAAGCAGGGGGTGCTCCTCTTTGTGCTGTGCCCCACAGCTCTGCCCCATGGTGCCTGTGCCCCCACACTGAGGGTACCACAGGGCTGATCAGGATTTGTTCTCCTGAATGAGGCCAGAGCTGGGCACTGCAAACCTGCCCGTGCTTCGGGTGACTGTGCCCCGATGGGAAGAGGGTGACAGCTCCCAGCAGCCACCCCAGGCCAGCGGCCATGGGAGTCGCACTATGGGCACAGGGGCCTGACACTTGTTCCGAGCAAAGGACACTTCCTGACCTCCCGGGCAGCACCCGCAGCACTCTGAGTTATTTATAAGGACACGGAGGCAAACAAAGCATCTGTCTGGGCTGGGAGCCTAGCTGCCCACCGAGCCAGCTGTTAAACCGTGCTGCCAGCCCTAATGCATTTACACTCTTCCTTTCCCAGAACTGCTTCCTGAGCGATGAGAACGAGATCTACCTGCGGCACTTCTTGCCGGCGCTGGGGAACTTCACGCAGGGGCTGTACAGGCGCAGGGGCTCCTCGGCCGCGCAGTGAGACCCGCCAGCCCCGCACCTCGCTGCTGCTAGCGCTCAAATGGGTGCTGCGGAGTGGTTTTGTCTTCTTCTGTCCCTTTTTGCTCCTCGTTTCGTGCACTTCCTCAGCCCCGCTCCAGCCCTGCTAATCCCAGCCAGCTCTCGCAGCAGAGGATGCGCCCCGAGCGGAGCGCCCGCCCGGCATCTCCCGAACATTCCCCCGGCCAGCCTCGGCAGCGAGCTCGCACTCGGCCAGGGCTGCCCCGAGCCCCTGAGCTGCTCCCCGCGGCTGCCCCGAGCCCCTGAGCTGCTCCCCGCGGCTGCCCCGAGCCCCTGAGCTGCTCCCCGCGGCTGCCCCGAGCCCCTGAGCTGCTCCCCGCGGCTGCCCCGAGCCCCTGAGCTGCTCCCTGCGGCTGCCCTGAGCCCCTGAGCTGCTCCCTGCGGCTGCCCCGAGCCCCTGAGCTGCTCCCCGCGGCTGCTCCAGCCCCGAGCAGGGATGCGGAGGGAGCATCCCGGAGGATGCAGAAGGAGCATCCCGGAGGATGCTCAGGAGCCGCAGCTCTTCGCTCGTTCATCCGCTCCGGCAGCACCTACCTAAACCAAAACCAGATTATCTGCTTCCTGTTCCCCTGCGTGACGGGAGGTTTCTTCACAGTCATCTTCTCTTCCTAAAGAGATGAAAATCTAGGCTGAAATGAGAAATTTTGACCGATGTGTTACTGAGTGCAGCTGAGGTTCGCAGCTGAGGGGGAGGCGGATTTCTGGGAGCAGAGCTGGGAGGGGAAACGGCTCAGAGGGGCCGGACCTGTTACTGCAATTTCAGTGTGTCTCTTCTATTGTAGGTGGCTTTTAAGTTATTAATCCTGAAGACAGAAGAGTCTGTAGGACAACTTTGAATCTAATGTGTGCTCACTGTCATCATACTTATGAAGTTTGTTTATTTATTATTATATGTTATTTAACTAACTTATTTTTATAGTGTGCAACCTAGAGATTCAAGACCAAAAAGTCCTGGCTGTTGAAAGCTTTTCTTTGCTTTGGACCTAAAATAAAAAGGAAAAGCCAGTATTCAAGGTTTATTTTGAAATTACATGGTAGTTCTGTGGAATACAATCATATTTAAAATACTGCTACCTCATTTTAGGGAACTCTTTTTGTCTGATTGCCTTTGCACAACAATGAATGAACATTGTAATTTATTGTTCTTCTCTCTATTTAAAATATTGGTATTATGAGAGTTAATATATTCAAATTCCCATGTATTTGAATGTATTCATTTTATTATTTTGTTAATATCAACTATGCACTGATTTTTATTGACATGTCCCCGGGCTTAAGCAATAAACAACTGAGTTAAGGGCTCTTGGTGTCCATAGTTTATGATGTCAATTCCCTCTGACCTTCAGCAGTTAGTGAGGAGCACTGGGGGAGCTGCCTCTTGGTCAGGAATGCTGGCATTTTTGGGGCAATGTGCGGTAAATGTACCCACTCTGCCACCGAGAGCAAGGAAAAGGCACCAAATAACCCTCCTGGCTTGTGGCTTAGGAAACTGGTGAAAGGAAGGGCTGGAGGAGGAAGGATAAGAGCCTTTTCTTGGGAAGAGGGTCTTGTGCATGGGGCCAGGGTGGAGGGGGGTTTTGGGGTGCAGGCTGTGGTCTGGGGGCAGTGGGGCTGAAGGGGGAGGCAGCAGGAGCCAAAGAGGAGCTGCAGGCAGGGGAAGGGCTGTGTGAGGGGAGAGGGAAGGGATGGGGCTGGCTTACGGACCAGAGCACACATGTAGGAAACAAATCCACAAAATTACTGCTGGAAATTGTTATACATGCTCAAATGCATGTAACAGGGGCTCAGCTGCAGCCTTGGGATTTGCCCTGGATTATTAGCACCAGGCATAGGAGCAGCAGAAATGCATGAGAACAGAACATGGACAATACCCTTGGGCACATGGTGTGACCCTTTGGGATGGTGCTGTAGAGGGACAGGAGCTGGACTCGATCACCCTTGTGGGTCCCTTCCAAGCTGTTCTGTGATTCTGTGATTCCATGATCCCTGCTGCCACCAGCTGCCAGTCCCCACAGGCAGGATGTGACAGCTGGCAAACCCTCACGGCTCTGTCTCAGTGGCTGTCCTGGAATCCTTCTGGTTGGGACACAGAAGGGAGATCTGAGCTGGTGGCTGTGACTTCTGGCAGAGCCCAGGCTCAGCAGCCATAGGCAGGTTGGTGTTTGAGAGCCTGGGCAGGATCCTTGTAGGATGGGAAAGGCTCCACAGAGCCCAAGGAGCTCCAAGAGGAGAAAACTGAGGACACATTTCTGAATCAGGCACCTTTCTTTGGTAGGGAAACAGGGCAGGCTCATCCCTGGATGGTGGCTGGGATGAAGGCACAGCCAGGGCTCCAGAAACAGTGGGGACCCCATGAGGGCTGTAGCTGTCCCCTCAGAGAGCAGTGGGGCCATCACTGCCATCAGCTCCATCCCATCCTTGGGAAAGGACATGGGAATCCTTTCATTTGCTGTTGTGTGGGATTATTGACCTCGGATGGATGTCAGGGCCCCACCACAGCACCCCGTCACCCTCAGCTGGGCAGTGGGGAGAAAACATAACAAAAGGCTTGTGAGCCAGAGTAAGGACAAAGAAAGGACAATCAGCAAGTACTGTCATAGGCAAAATATATTCAACATGGGGGAAAATTAATGATTTAATTATTAAATTTATTGTCAGTCAAATCAGAATAGGATAATGAGAAATAAAACTGAAATCTTAAAACACCTTAACCCCACCCATCCCTTCTTCCCAGGCTTAACTTTGCTCCTGATTTTCTCTCCTTTCTCTTCCAGCTGCAGCTGTGCAGGGATTTTCCCCAGGGCACTGCCATTATTGCCAATGGGCTGGTCCTTGTCCAGCAGCAGGTCCCTCTTGGAGCAACTGGAGTTGGCTCCATCAGGCACTGGGAGATCTTCCAGCAGCTTCTCACAGAACCCAGCCTTGTGGCTCCCCAAGATCAAAACCTTGCCATGCAAACCCAACACAGCTGGTGACTTTCTCATCACACAGCGATGCGGTTTTCCACCATGATTCAGCCTGAGCAGAGACAAGGTTAACTTTTTCTGTGATTTGAGCATTTTCTCTTCTCTGATTCCAGTTTTAGAGCTTTTCACCATGATCACTGGGGAACCTCTGTGTCTGCAGGATGTGGCTACTGCCTCCATCATCTTCTCCAGCATCACTTTTAGGCAGGGATCCTACCACCACTCCTCCCAGACCAGTGGGACAGCTCTTTGCACGCTGGTGAGGACCCACCATCCCTGGAGGCCATGGATGCAGTCACACAGCCAGAGCATGCTCCCTTATCTGCTCCCCATAGCAGGGAGGTAGGAAACAGCACAGCTCTCCACTGGCAAATCCCTCACAAGGATCTTTGTGTGTCAGTGACTTCACCTAACTTCATCCAGGGCATCTCGCAACCAGACAAACAAAATTACTCTCAGTCTGGCTGCTCCCGGACTCATCAGGTGCTCACAAGTTGTTATCTGGTGGTAAGTTGCTGTTTGAGTTAGAAAAATCCCTATTAGTTATTACAAAACTCCAAAGTTTCCCAGCTCAGCGTTTCTCAGTGCCATTTCCTGTGGCAGCTCTGGTTGGTGAGGCTGGCAGAGCCCATTGTCTGAAAACTCAGGCTGCTGCTCCCCAAGCAGGGCAGGATGGACAGGGCAGCCTCCAGCTCCCCAAAACGCTGGAGTAGGGCCACAAACCCCCAGCATCGACACAGCAGGACCCTGATTCCAGCTCTGTCTCCCTGCACACAACCCTGCAGGAGGCCACCCGGGTTTGGGGATCCTGCTTGGTCAGGAGGGCCCCCAGCTCTCCACAAACCCCCAGGCTGATGCCCTGCTCCTGCCCAGGTTTGTCCCCACACAGCCCTGCCATTGGTTCTGTTCCTCCCCAGGCTAAGAAACCCAGGGACGGAAATCAGTGTGCACGCTTTATGTGATCTGGAGATATTCAAATGAAACGTGATAGAAGAACCTGCAGGTCACTCAAAGGAAAATAAAAAGAAAAGTGTTGCTATTGGAGTGTGTCAGAGCAGTGGGCAACCCAGTTTAACCACTCTAAATTCATCATGCCTTGAGATATGGAGAAATGGAGAATCCCCAAGCCAGGCTTATATACTGCATGCAACCTGACTCCTGCCACTCTCATCTTACAGTGGAAATTTCATAATGCAAGATCAGAAGAAAATTTTGACTTGCACAAAAAAGAGCTGTTGCTCTCCTAATCGGGAGCAACTTTGGAAAGTGCCTATAAGGGAAAAATAAGTTTTTCCTCCTGGTTCAGCAATTTTACAGTAATAAATTGAGGTGCTTCCTCCAGAAAAGCGCACACAGTTAGAGATCACCAAACAATGCAGAGACTAAGAGCTGAAGGGGTCCAGCCAAAGCAGGCCATGAGTATCCTGGTGCAGGTCCTGCTCACCCTCCTGGTGCTGTCAGCCTGCCTGGGAGACGTGGTCGCCCCATGGCCACAGCCACTACGGACCAGCATCCTGAAGGAGAGCATCAAGCTGCTGGACCAGCTCCAGCAGATGGAGGTAGGGCTGGTTGGTGCTTTACTCACTGATGGGAGGAACAGATTGCTCCACCAGGCTCGGAGGGAGCGATGCTGAGCCAGAGGAGGGTGATGAGCATGGTGCTCACAACGCTCCTGGAGCCTGGAGGTGGATGGATGTGTGTCTGTGAGTGCACGGCAGGATGGATCTGTGCTGTCTGGAGCCTGATTGCTCCTCTCCTTTGTGTCTTCATAAAGGTTTCCTGTAACAAGATGAATGTGATCAATATTTTTGCAGATCATAAGGTAAGAGAAAAACCCAACCATATATCCCTGATGGGAACTGGGAGGGTGCTGGGGGCCAGAGGAGAGCACAGGGAGGTGGGATGGAGGTGGCAAGCCTGGGACCCTGCCTGTCCTAGTGTGGTGCTGTGGAGGAGCAGGAGCCCACTGTGAGCCCCCAGCACAAACGTTGGGCTGCCCAGCTGGTTCTCACCACTCCCAGCACCCTGCACAGGAGCCCTCACCTTCCCACACCCATCTCTGCCTCCAGCCACAGCAGCACTGGTGGCTTCTGGCCCCACTGGGGACAGGGAGAGCCCCGAGGAAGGGCAGAGATGGGCACCTGTGCTGGGGCAGAAACAGAGGTTTCAGCTTTTCAGGGAGAGGAACATCTCCCTTTGCCTTGGAGTGCTGTCACCAGCTCAGACACCCACACCCACCTATTGCACAGCATCCTGAGTACTGGGTATCCCTCTTTAGCCCCTTATCTGGGGAAGGCTCTGCACTTAGCACAAGATTTAATAGCAGATAATAAGGCCTCTTTCTGCTCTGAAAACTGCTGCCTAAGCCACGCTCCCCAGCCCCTGGGTTCCTGTTTTCACAGAAAGCCCAAGCCCTCACCTCCTGCCATGCCTGGTGGCACCCAAGGGGTGCAGCAGCCCTCACTGGGGGGCTGGGGCTCAGCACCCCTCAGGGGACCCCCACACCCCTTCTGCCACAGGGAGCAGCCCTGGTAGTGAGAGGAGATGCCAGAGATGCTGCACAGCCCCACACCCACCATTGCCCATGCTCACAGGGACACACTGGTCACTTGTTTGAAGATACTGCTCTGGTGAAAGCTGATAGAGCAGGCAGCACTGGGAGCATCCCCCAGGGAAGAAAGTCAAATAGTTTTTTTAATGCCACCAGCACTTTATTTATTAACTCCTCATCTTCCACATGTCTCTGCTATAGGATTTCTCAAAACCCCTAATGAAGGCAAACTCTTCTTAGGTGCTTTTGTTATTCCTGTAGCCTCCCTGTCTGCTCAAACCAGTGTAAGTGCAGGGAGCAGCCTCAGTTTCCACATCCACACCTGCAGTAGGAGCACGATGCTCCATCACAGGGGTGCTCACAGCTGTGCCACACTGCCACAGCTTCTGCGGGGGGTTGATTCCTCCTCGCCAGGAAAGGGATGGGACCAGTGCCAGGTGTGCACAGGGAGGCTTCGGCACCTCAAACCACAATTTGCACCTATCCTTTAGAATAGAAATTTATTATTGTAGTGCTTTAATCTGCTGCTAATGAGCATGACGGTACAAAAGCATTTTTAAAAGAGTCATGTGTCTTTTCCCAGAGAGGTAACAACACGGAGATCTTATGCAAAGCTGCCACAATTGCTCAGGAGCACCAGAGCTGCCACAGGTACCTCGGGGGCCTTTACTACAACTTGCTCAGCCTGGCCTGGGGGAGCAGAGCAAGGCACAAGGTGAGGCACACCGTGCACTGCCCACATCCCTCAGGCTTCTCCCTTGGTCACCGTTTCTGTTTTACTCTCCCACTGCCTTTAGCAGCCCAACCCAAGCTGCAGAACCCAATCCCACCCCAGCAAGCTTTTTCACAGCCTGTTTCCTATTCCAGAAGCCATGTCCCGTGGCAGCAGGCAGCACCACCTCACTGAAGAACTTCCTCAATGATTTACACCACGTCCTCCAAGAAGAGTACAAGAGTCAGAAGTGAAAAAACACTTATTTTGTTTTTAAACTATGACCCTATTTTTCAAAGAGTATGTATAATAATTCTTTAAATAAATTTATTTTTGGACTAAGTGTGCTGGCATTACATTGGAAATTACACAAGGCAACAGTTTAAGATTAGTTTCAAGTTTATGGAACAAGGGTAGTGTGGCTAGGAATTGGCACACTACTTGTCCTGCTATGGCATTAAGCTCGTGCTAACATGAGGAACACAGATCTGAACAGAAAGAAAAGCCCAGGATGGGAGAAGCCAGGCCACAAATGAGGAATGCTGGCAACTCAAAAGTACATGCTGCAAGGTCTTGCTGCTGGGGCTTGGCAACAAGGCTGCAACACACCCCAAACACTTGTGCAGAGTGCTGCTGTGCAGCTCAGAGCTACAGAGGCACCTCACCCAGCTCCTGACACAACTGAGGAAAAAAGATATACTATGTATAATGTTATTTGGAACACATGAACACAGGGTGGAATTAAGAATCAAGAATTTTATTTCATGGTAAGAACATGCTCCAGGGACACAATATTGATATATACAGTATAATGAATTAGCTTTAATAAAACAAGAAATAGTCAGAAATAAACAGAGTTTAAAAACCAATAAACAGAAAGGCAAATCATACAGACTAGCAGTTTTTCCCTCTATGCAGGCCTGGCTAAGCAGAGCTGTGGAGAAAGGTGAAAGCTGGACATGTGCAGACAGTGTACTCAGTAAAAGGCACTAAGGACCATTTCCCCTCCTCTTAAAGGATTAGGAACAAGTTAAATATTAAATAATTCATTTACACAAGATTAAGCAAAAATCTCATTGTTAAGGTCAATGTTCTGGAATGAGGAGAATCTTCTATTAGCAAATGCAAAGATGAGCACACACAGCCTATGTTATGTAAAATGAGTCTTGATAAATACCATAGAGCACATACTGACCTGCAACAAGAAAGGCTGTATTAAGCTCCTAAAAGTCCATATAAATCAAATCCTTTCCTTATTAAAACACATTATGGGCCCATTAGACATTCACAGATGGGCAGGGCTATAGAGAGGGCCCATGTGGTAAATCCACAAACCAAACTCCCTGGTTTTACAAGAAACTTCCCAGAACTTCAGCAAAATACACCACTTAACAGGTGAGCCCGACTGACAGGGCACATGACCATGAGAGTGCTCCACTTTATTTAAAATCCTCTTACAGGGCAAATAATTTGTCCTCCAAGCCTCTGTAACAGGAGATAACAGGTTTCTCCAATCGGCCAATTAAAGGTGTGCAAGCAATTACTTATTGTTTACCCCTGCTCCAAAGCTCACTTAAACATGCAGAGTACCAAGGTTTTCAGCAGCAGAACTAGTATGTTAATTGTAAATCATATGCCTTTATGTTTGAAGTATTTTAAATATTTCGGTATTTTAAATGGAGTGCCATGGTTCACAGCTTGGAGTGACTGATACCTGTCAGGTAAAAGGATTTTCAATGGTATTTCTGAAAGCACAGCTCTGGTTTAACTCCTGCTAAACCAGATCATTCAATAAATGTTAGCACAAGATACAATACAAAAAGGAAACAGAAGTTATCCCTGGTTCTGAGAACCAGGACAGGCCACAGCTATGCATCTATCTGCTTGGACTCAGAACTGGAAGACTTTAAGCAGCATTTAAGCCATTTTCAGTCTGGATTTTAGCAGCATAAATATCAAATAAAAAGAGCAGCCATCACAAATAAATGGTTATTATCAGAGACCAAAAATGTTTTCCTCTCATCAGAGCATAGCCAGAGATGCACACAGTATACACAGGAACGCAGCACCAGCTATGTCAGGGTATATTGTTCTAGGAAAAATTAATTCTGTTCTACTAAAGGAGAATCAAATTTATGCTCAGTGTAGAGCAGTGGCCCAGTGCCTTGTAGCCAGGGATGAGGAAACAGAGCCACGGTGCTCACAGCCCCATGGCTGACACCAAGTCCTGGTGTTACAGCATCCTCCTTAGATGATCTCAGCTGTTCAGATTACAAAACTACTCACACAAAAGTACCAGCCCTGAAGCATAAAAAGCTACCAAAGTAACACAGCCTTAACTGAAGGAAAAAAGCTCTCTTCTGCCTTAATATCCAAGGTCTCATTCTCCACAGTGCCAGCAGATCACAATCAAACTGATAAAAATAAAAGAACTATTAGACACCCGTGGTCCCTTTTCAGAAATCTCAAGACTTTTGTGGTTCACGTTTTTCCTACCCAGCTACTTTCTCTATACAGGAAGACAGCAATAAGAAAAAAAAAGACTGTGTATTCAACACATAACAGTGTGTTAACAGCCACGGTGAGGACCATTAAATAAAAAGATTGATGCTCTTAAAGGTTTGCAGCAACTACATTCAAACACACATCAGTGCAACAGAGGACAACAGTGAAAGCTGCCAGTTATGTGCAAAGCAGGGCATAAGTCAGATTTACCAGCCTTAATTTCAGGATTTCATTAACTGTTTTGAACTAACACATCTAGCACTTAAACACACATCTAGAACCCTATTTTCTATACATTTCAACAAGGATTACCAACAAGTTTCCCTGCACAACACATTTAATACACGGAATTTCACAACCATCAATCATACATACCAGTTTAATATTATGTTAATATAACATACAATATACAGGCAACTAAGGAAAAATACATTTTTTAAAAATAAAAAAATTATAGCCATGTCAAACTGTGCCATCTCTTGAATTCCATATTCTGGCCAAACCTTATACACTCACTGATTTTTACAGGAATTCTGACCAGGTCACACTACTGCAGCAGGGAATCAATGACAGCTCCTGGCTTGGCTGAACGTTTTCTGTTTGGAGAGCAGAAAGGAAAGGGAAAAACAACACCACACACACATCATTATGCTGTCTAGGAAAGACAGGGACCAGCCACATTTCAAGTCAAAACTACACGACATGACTTCTCCATAAGCAAAACCAACCAAACAAAAAAGCACAAGAAAGCATATGCTGAAATCTCCCCCAACAGCCCCCTCCTCTCCACTGGTACCACTGTTTGCACTGGCAATGTGCCAGACTGTGTTATACTGGAACACCAAATGCAGCAAAATAAAGCAAGGAGCTGGAAGAGGAGAATGCCACAAAAGAACATCAGAAAATTCCCAGACAAGTCATTCTGGACAAGATCTAGTGCAGTAAAGAGATCTCAGCTTGGTTCTGTTACACCTGGCAACACTGAACTATATCATGCAAAAATTTTGTCCTTTGCCTTCTCATTAAGCAAATGTTTGAAGACTTGTGGCAAGTTTGCATATACAAACTCCAGCCTTCCCTTGGGTAAATCCCTCACTGCATATAAATACCCCAGAGTTCTTCACCTTCTACCAGTCTTGGGCCTGGATCTTCCTTTTGAAGTCCTTGGCCTCTCCAGCTTCATCAGAGATTGCCTCAAGCTTTCTTCAGTGTAAGCTAAGTAAACATGGGAAAGGTCCACTTCAAAGGGCTAGAAAAACACCAGAAAACCTTGTAAGACAAAGTCGTCAGAATAATTTCATACACTCATCAATGGTACTTTCATGATACTACAAAGACTCATTTCTTCAAAAGAAAAGAAAATTGGGATTGGACAGTTTGGCTTTAAATACAGAGTGGCAGTCTCATGCAGACTTGGGCCTGTACAGTTCAATACATTAATTCAACAATCACTCACATCTTTCTCTTTTTTATCCAGAACAGGCGTCTGTTTCCTCATATTGTTTCCTGTATATGCAACGCATTTCTGTAAGCAGAAAAAAAGTTTTGTCAGTAAAGTCAACTGTGCATAGTAAAACTGACTACAGCTTCACCAGTTTCTTCCTGGGCTCAATTAAACCCCTCAGAAGTTAATACTAATGTTAGCTTGTACACAAGCCAGGCAACCACTCTTACCAGCTGCCACTCTCCTATGTCTTCGTTCCAGTGAACGTAGTTCTCAATCATTTCCTACAAAGAAGTCAGGACAGTAAGTGTTAGACCTGCACCTCCAGGTGCACTTTCCACAACATACATCCTAAGGCCTGGACAAACTGCTTAAGAACAGTCTTGATGCCTTACAAATTGTTCCTATCAGGACAGCTACATCCTGTGCAAACAAAAAAAACAACATTTATACTCTGAAGTCTACAGAACAGAAAAATACCACTCCCAAATTGTAGGTACTGGAGAGCCCCCTAAACCATGGGGTTTCCATTATGCCAACACGATCAAGACAGCAGGAAGCAAACACTGTAATATGGAAAAAATGAAACCTATAAAAAGAATTTCCCTTTTCCCATTAAATAGTATGCATTATATTTAAGCTCATTGTGAATTTTCTGTATACTGGAGTCACGAAGAATGTCAAAGATTTAAAAATCCAGTCTTTGTGTTAATATCAGACATTAGAAAGCACAACTTAAAGCTAGTGAAAAAAAAAAAAAAAAAAGATTTTAAACAGACCCACTGCATGGGCACACTGAATATACCAGTTAACTATGTGGGGTCAGCGTCTTTTTCCTATTTTTATAAGCTTTAGGAAAACATGCTGCAAGAGAACTGAAGTTGGCACAGCACAGCTCCTGCTTCAGGCTCAGGTGCTTTGCCTTCACCTGGTAGTCCTGAGGAATGAAGTTGTCTATGATGAGAATCTGAAGGCGAAGCTCCCTGCTCAGCTGCCGAATGTTTTCCAGCAACCCTTCGATCTCTCTCTGATGCTCTTGCTGTAGATCTGCCATCTGAAAACAAAACAGGCATTTGAGAGGCAGCAGACTTATCTTAAGACATGGTAACCGCTTAAAGAGAACTGTTTTTTGTCTGTATGAGGTTTTTGGAAAACAAAAGCAAACTCTGGTTACTAGTACCAAAATATCTCTGAACAATAAAACCTCTGAAACATTTCAGCTCAGAGATGACTGAAAACAACATTAAGTTCTCAGTTTCATAAACCAACACTGGCCTTCTGTCAATCCAAGCTGCTTCAGCTAAGACTAGATGAAGAGCATGAGACAAGTTGCATCACTGGCAAGGTTTCAAGGAAAATCTCTAATCCCAAAGACCAAATGCATTTTTTATGAAACAGGAACTCCAGCTACCAGACAAAAGATACACTGATCCAGTGACTGAGGATGAGGTAACAAGGGCATCAGTCATAAAGGACAGAGAAGCCTTTGGGTTGCAGCAAAGCAGGACATGGGGCTGCCAACAAGCAACTTGCATTTTATTTCAGAAATAACCAGTGGTTTTCTTTGAAGTTCTTGTTATCTTAGGGTCTCACAAAAAACCCCTTCTCAGCCTGGCCATGGGAAAATCTCTACAACTGTTCTAAATGCTGTTCTAAAGCTCCAGCATTTTCAAATTATGTGAGCCAAATGGAAAGCACAGAAAGACGTTTCTGAACCTACAGCACATTTTCCAGCATTACAAAGCTAAAGGCTTACCCTTCCCAGCTCTAGTGCCTCCCAGGATCTCTGGCTGAGGACTTTAGATACTAACCTCTGACTTTGCAGCCATAAGCATGGTCCAAACTTTCTTCAGTTTTTTGGTTTTGCCCTGTGCTTCCTCCTGGAGGTTGGTGTACTTCTCCTCGATGTCCAAGCGTTCTTGCTGTGGAAATTTAGCACAGACACACACACACACATATTAACAAGCACAGAAACTCTCTGCAACAGCAGAACAAGAGGAACAAGAGGAAAAACTACTTGAACAAACAAAGCATTTGCCAAGAGCACAGAGCCCTGGCTGAGCCAGGCTGGCTCAGACCTGCATCAGTTGCACAGCCAATAAGTGGCCTGTGGAGGGGTGACTCTTCAGTGCTTCCAGAGCAGAGCCACACCTGGGTAACATATCCTGGTGTCTCCTGCCATTGCTGTTTGCAGACATCCACAGCAGATAACCTCACCTCCTTCTCCTCAAGCTCCTTGCGAAGCTGCTCTGCTCTCTTCCTTCGTTCCTCCAGTTCCATGTTTGATTCTTCTAAAAGCTTCTCTTGCTCCTCTGCTTTTGCCAGCAAGTCCACTCCTCCCACAATCACCTTTTTCTCTAATGCAGACAATTTCTCCAACAGGGACTGGTGCTCTTGCCTAGACAGACAGGTAGGTGTGAGACTTCCTGCCCTACTGTGCTCAGCAGGCATCAAGTCCAGCTTGGTTTTACAGCCCAGACAGCACTCACAGGGCTGGAAAAACTTGCCCTGCTGCTGAGGGTTTAAGTGGGGGTGAGGCAGTGCAAGTGAAAGCAGCAAATTCCCCAAGCTCCAGCTCCCACCACTTGCTCTCAAGCAGAGAAGTGCCTCCCACTGCAAGTCACCTCTGTGAGGGGCTGCAAGCACCCAATAACATCACCAGGCTGCTCTCTACCCTCTGCCCAAAAGGGCCCTGCCAGCACAGCAATGCCCAGAGGCAGCTGCTGAAATAGAGGGGGGTGAACAGAGATCAAGGCAGCTGCTGAAGTGCAAGCCAGGAATGCTGGCTGCTGCTGGAGCAGTCTATTTGCATAGGGTAGTGTGACCTTAGCAGCTTTTTTGGCTTCAGAATAGACTCCTACACCCAAAATTACATGCTTGTGACTGTGCTGCTGGAAACCTGGCCTGTTACAGAACAGTACTGCTGTTCCTCACAGGTCCTGGGAGATTAGTTTATGTTTCTAGGCTGCTTTGCACAACTAAGTTAAGAAAATAAGCACTGAAAGGATAAAAGTTTGTCTTTCCCATATACTCTACACTCTCAAAGAGGAGTAAGATCCTCTTTCACCTTGACAATAGCAAGGGGTGATGTTCACTTTCTATGAAGTTTGACAAGCACCTTACCATGCATCTCCAGGTACTTGTATGATTAAGGAAGGAACAACCCACACCACCACACAAACTGCTCAGAGCACGGTACTCACTGAGCTTTGAGCAAGTCTTTTTCTCTCTTCTCCAGTTCAGCTCTGGCTTTATTTCTCTCTTCTTCTTCCATATCAAGCTTAGTTTCAAGAGCTTTTCTCTCCTCTTCAATCTTGGCTTGCATCTCTACCATCTTATCAGGGGAAACTTTCTTTTTGCCTTTGAAAGATACGGGGAAAACAAATTAGCTCACTGAAAAGTAAAATAACCTCTGTATCATAGCATTTTTCCCAAGTTCAGATTCAATACTTGCATTTAACAAAAATTTCATTAGTTATCAGCTTCAAAATGGGCAAAACTTCAAATCCCATTTTAACACTGGCCAGTAGTCACCAGCTCCTACTGAGCAGCAATGCTGTATAACTATCACTGGAACTTAATGTCCCCAAAATATAAACCAAAAAACACTTGGAGAAGGAACACTGCCTGAAGAGAAACCCAGTCTGGAAACCCCGATATTCTAACACTGCAGATCAGGCCACAGGAAGGAAAACACAAGGCTGCTTTGACCTACAGCTATAAAAGCTCAGTTACCAAGAGTTGCATACTCAAATTTCAGATTAGCATCTCTACCATTCCACTTATTCACTGCCCTCCTCACAGGCTTACCTGTTCCAAAGTGGGCATGTAGATATTTTTAAGAACACACTACTATGGAAATAGAGAAATTCAGAAGAGTCCTATGAAAACCAGGCAACTAAAGATATTTCCTGATCATATTTGGTCTATGTAACAGTGACTACCCACAGATTTGAAAGTACCATGGTTGGCTCTGGCTTAATCAGCTGTCCTTACAACAGAACTACCACAGCAGCACACCAGGTCTGTGTCTTGTAGGGCTACAAAGGGACTGGCGGAGCACTCACTGAACCTACTGACCTCAAGAGCTGGTCCCAAACATCCCAAATTTGAAACAAAGCGTGAGGCTGCTGCTCCTGAAAGCCACTCTGCAAGTCTTGAGCCAACCTTCATTGCAATCCCAGGAGTGCCCAAGGCAGGCAAACATAGAGACCCTGGGGGATTATGTGGAGTAAGAATGCATTTCCTCAAGTCCACAACTCCTAAATATCCATTTATTCACAAGTGAAGCCATAGTTTTCTTGTTTTGCTTTTCCAGACAGGAAAAAACCCCACCCTGTAGAATCCAGCTGTACTTGAAACTAACAGGAGCCACTGACTGCCACCTGACTGTTTTCATAGTGACATAAGGCACATGGTCAGAACACACTCAGGGAAGCTGTTCAGTAAAAGGCTTCTCCTCCTCCAGTCTTCAAGATATTCAGCTTCATTTATATACATATATTTATCATCATATATACAATATACACATACATCATATATACATTATACACATACACACTCCAGCAAAGTGTAATGCATATGTAAACGTGCATGCACATATTTTCACATTTGCATATATATTTCTTCGTGTGCACAAGAACTTTAATTACTTTTGTTGCAATGCAAGGACTTCATACTACAGCAAACATCTTCACTGCCATCTGCTACACTTGAGAATCAGATAACAAGTGCTTCTTTCTGGGCTTGTGGTGCAAAAATCTCTCACTAATTAATCTTTGAGTAAGAAGCTTTCTGGAAGTGCTATACAGAGCTCATCATATGAGATAAGCCAGATAAAGGCTTCTTACTATTAGGACACAGCCCTATATATTCTCAGTTTAGGAGAAAAAGGTGAAGTGAGGCAAGCTGTAAGATCCTTTGACAAGCTTTGCACATGTAAGGAGGTGAAAATCAATTACACCAACCTGCTTGATCTTGCATTAAGAGGAAGTAGAAAGCAAATCGCAGAGAGGCAGCAAACACATAAAAAGAGGAGGAGAGAAAATGTTATTGCTTTGATCATTTTGGACAAAGATCATCAGCACCAGAACAAACAACAAATTTTATATTCATGTTTCTAGGGTAGAAAATATGAGACAATCATGACTAAAAACCCCTCTATTAGAGCGAACACTAATGCATCATGTTACTCTAAAGCAGAAAATGTGTCTGTACTTCAGAGTGCTTTGCAAATCCAGGATAATCTTCAACTCACTCTTGCATTCTTCTGCCCATTCAATGCAATGCTGGATCTAAACACAACATTAGGAGCCAGCTGCAAGGATCATGACCTAAGAAACAATTAAGGGGGTGGATTTCTCCTTCAATTAACATACTTAATGCTCCCCACACTCAAGAGAGCCAATTCTGCTATAATACCTGTAAAATATTAGCATCCAGAATACATGTTCTAAGTTTTAACCAAGATTTCTAAGCCAAATCTTTGCAAGATACAAGACAATTGCACACAGGGAGTCTCAACACAAGATATCTCCATTTAATTACACAGGGGATTAGTAAGTTGATTTGCAGTAACTGGTGCTTCCATAGAGGTATAGAGCCACTTTTGGTTATTCAAGCAAGTGCAACAAAAAAAGGCAGAATAAAAAAGGGATAATGAAAGACACCACATGCAGAAGGGTCACACTAGAGGACAGTTAATATCTCAAACCACAAAAAGCTACACTTATCCCAAAAGCCCAACACAACTTCCCCTACAGAAGTCTCCAAACCTGCAGAAGATGGACTCATCCACCTGCTGACACATCAGCAGTTTGCTATTAACTGTCCTCATCCAAATAAAACAGGTTCCAAGCAAGCTTTAAAGGAGCAGGATTGAAGCAATTGGAATTCTCAGGCTACAGTCATACGACCCACCAAAGGTCTCCCCCGGGTTGTGTTCCCTCTAACCCTGCTACTACCCTTCTCTGAGCTGAGGCTTTCCACTAACATCACTCCTGTAAGTGAGTGAACTACCCAGCAATACTTTCCAGGGTCTCTCCACACAGGGAGAAGAGTGGAGTGCTTCTGTCCAGGATAAAACACCACCAGGTGAAGTCCCCACAAGCCGAGTCCCAAGATGTGATTTGTTTCCTCAGTCCTCACTGACTGTAGGGTTTTTACAGGCACAGTGACCTCTCTGCCCAGGAGCAGCCCAGACCTTCCTTACTACTAGACCAAAATCTGGATCTCCTGTTCCTCTGAACAGGAGGAAGCCCACAGAGATCAAGAACTTAGAATATTTTTTTAAGTATCTGCAAAAATAAAGCCCATCAACCAAGCATTGACACATTTTCTTTGCTAGTATAAGCCTCATGCTGGTTGACTATTCTCCAATACTAATTTTGAGAAGGCAGAGTCCAATATAATATAGAATACATATCTAGCAGTCCTTTTGATGAATTCATATTGTAGCAATTCTCATTAAAATTTAGCTCAGTTTTTCCCCTGTATTTTTAAAGGCACATTTAACACAAGCTGCAAATTGGATCTTTTAAACCTATTATTTCTCAATTACCTTTAAATCTTGCTCAAGCAGCCTACTACATTGTTTCCTATTCTCTTACATATCTGGCTAACAATGTGCACATTGAGTAACTGTTTCAAACATGGAAGCAGCAAAGGAAAGGCATGCTTTAGCAGAGTTACAGCTGGAGGTTTATCTTTCCAACAGACAAAGCAGGGAAGAGTGCAACATGGCAAAATGGAGTGTGCAGATTATGGAAAGGCCAAAGCTTAAAGGACTTAAGAGCTCCCACTCACTAGTGAAGGACTTATCCAGAGGTTTCTCTATGACAGAGCATGTGGAGTCTGAACTACTGCTGCTGCTACTGCCTGGAAAACAGAAATGCGTCCCACAGAAAAACCCAGAGAGGAAGAAACATGCAGATGGGAAGTTAGTTCTAAAGGAAAGAAACCCAGAAGAGCCAGCAACCTACTTCAAAAAAGCACAAGTTCCCATTAGGAAGCACTTGCTAGGATCCCTCCCAAACTCAGCTCGCAAAGCCACCATTTCCCAGCACAGAACTGCATGCTCAGAAAGACATTTCAGTAAAAACCCATCTTAATCAGACTACAGTTTAAAACATGCCAAGGCAGCTTCCATTTCAAGCAGCAACAGCAGAGAACACCATAGTGGAGAAGGCTGTGGATGTCTGCCATAGCAGAGGATTCAGTGACCATGAATCCTTTCCAGTCTTACACACATGGCCATGTGCAGTTCTCACTCTGGAAGGCAGAATCAGCTTACACAGGGACAGTCAGTGTGTACTCCTGTGAAGCAGCTCCCTTAGGGAACTTAACTAGAGTAACTTGTCTGGGAGTGGAATAAGTCAGTTATTCACCCTCTACTCCTTCCAAGCAGCACTTTGAAGGTGGGTCTCCTCTTGGGAGGAGATTTGGGCAGGACATTTGGAGACAGTGGTCAAGCTTTCCACTTCTAGAAATAATCAAAAGTTTAAAAATGAACTTGTTACAACTATCACCAAAGGCATGGCAAAAGTAATTTATGACTACCTGGACAGACACCAAAATGAAAAGAGTACACCTAAAAGCAGGAACACTTTAACAGGAATTTTTTTCAACACATGTGGGTGCTTCAGGACAGGAAGGCAGTCTGAATGTCAAAATAAGTTTAGCAGAGAAGCTGAGAGTTGGGATGTAGCACTGGGTTTGATTTCTCTACTATCCACAAGGAATTACCAGCAGGGTTCCAGGAGAAGAGCAAGCTCCCAGGAAGCCACAGCATCCCATGGTACACAGTGACCTGCAGTTCCAGGTTCAGCAACATCCCCTGGAGTTTAGATTATACACAGCAGTTTAACACTGATGTGGGACAAAGGAAACTCCACCATGGGATTTTCAGACTGCTCCCAAAAAAAGCATGTGTAGCTCCCATTAAGCTTTTCAGTTAGCACAAAGACACCCAAAGGTCAAGTTTTCCCTCTATCAACATAAAATAGGACATCAGAAGAGTCAGTTACTGAAGATCTGCAAGACAGATGAATCCTTTGCCTGAACCACAGCCGAAATTCCCCTCCAATCATACCCATGGCTATAAAAACCACACCTGCCTACAAATGATCTTTGGTGTTTTCTTCCTCCCACCTCCGTAAGCAGGGGAAGTTCCACACCACCACAAGCCATACGCAGCCACCTTGCGGCACCCAGGGAGCCACCACAAAGGATGATGTCACAACAAGCACAGCTACCCAAGTGGAAGCAGGTACTACAGCTTTGGAGCTGTCCATCTGCAGAGACCGCACCAAAGGGCTTCGTTTCTAGGAGAGGCATGATAATTGCAGCGGCATAGGGCATCTCTACAACTCCTCTTGTCCCTGCCTGGCTCTGGCTACACTTCCTACCCCAGCTGGTGGGTAAGAGGAGAGTGGTGGCACTGATGGGAATCTCTACTGCCTTACCCCGCCGTTTCTTCCGCTTCTCCTCTCCAATCTCCCCATCTTCATCCTCCTCTTCGGAATCGCTGGTTTCAGAACCAGAGATCTCTTCCCCTAGAAAAAAAGAGTGTGCTTTTATCAAAAGCCTTCCTTCACCTCCTATCAGCCTGTTACTCTGACAGCAGCATTTATCCAAACACAGCAGTATCTGGCATCAGTTTATGAGTACTTGCAGAAATCCTTAACTGTTGCACAAACAGACAGCTTGCCATGGATCAGGAAACTTAAGGACAATCAAGAAAAGCAACTGAATGCTGTGATGTCAGTGTGTATGTATTAAAATCAAGAGGCTACTTTTTATGGAAAATAGAGCATCTTTGCACAGCTGAAGCTATGAAGTTTTCCTAGCAGGATTCTACCATACCTTCTCTTCCATCTTACACTTCCATCTCAGAGGAAAGAAAAAGGAAGAAGCATCACTGACCATTTCCTGCTTCTCCTGAATGGGGCAGACAACAAACAGCAAGTAATGCTGGAGTTACTGCTAAGGCTGTTCTGTGAGTATCTCTGGAGAGAGATGTTGTGACATCTGGTCACTGTTTAGCAAGCATCCCTCTAGCAGGGTCACTACATATTGGTGGACTAATAACATGAGGCTATGGTTTAATGAGGCTTCTTGTTGCTCTACACTGTTTAGAAATCCAGCTCCAGCTCCATAAATCTGGTTCAATTTTCCTCCTGATAAATGCATTCCTCCTCCCCAGTCAGGGAAGAAGTGTGATCTGTTGTTACAGCTCAGCTCAATTCCCTATACCATGTCAGTTGTGCTTTCTAGGGAAACCCAGGAAAACCTGGGCACACTGATCCCAGCTCAGATGCCACCACTCACCCTAGTGCCAAGTGCCACCTAGTGGGAAAGATGGACCCCCACGAGCAGCCTTGGACACCTCTCCTGGCATCCAGCAGGGCAAACAAAACCAGAACACTGACCTGCACCAGCAGCCAACCTCATGTGATACATATTCAAGTGGCAAAGAATATTCCCGTTCAATCAGAACAAGCATTGTGCACAGAGGAACACAAGGGGGAAAGAGAGTCTCACCTTCTTCCAGCTTTTTCTTAAGCTCTTCAATTTCTTTTTGGAACTGGCGGAGCATAGCATCCTTGGGATCCTCATTAATCCTGGCCTTGTTCTTTATGTTCTTGGCTCTGTTTGCATACCTGAGAGTGCTGATGGTCTCATCGTAGTTGTAGTCTGCTGGTCCGATGTTTGCACACTGCAGCACATGGAGATAAAGTTACTGGAGGACAGTGTCAGAGCCCAGCACAAGGCACTGCAGGAAGCCAGCCCCAGCTCTGACAGTCTCACACTGCTACTCTTTCCCAAGCTTTCCTGCTGCTTCTACACTGAAGCCACTTCTGACTACCCAAGCACAGGTTCTGTTTGATCTTAGGCATGTGTGTACACATGTGCTGTGTTTAGAACCTCATCTATACAGAGGCAAAGAGAAAAGACAGAAAGAGACGCACACAGAAGGTTCACTAAGCTGCAAACAGCTTAGGATTAGTGAGGTAAATGCCAGGCTGTTCAAGTCACTATGCTATCCCTGCAAAAATGCAGCCCAATAGCTGGAACTGGAAAGGGCATCTCTTAGCTTACCATCATGGTTTTGGAGTTGCCCCCCAGGGAGTCCTGCAGCAGCCGTGTGAGTTTGGAGTTACGGTAGGGCACGTGGGTGCTCTTGCCATCCACCAGTGCAGAGATAACATTGCCCAGTGTGGAGAGAGAGAGATTGATCTTAGTGGCTTCCTTCAGTCTCTGCCCTGTGGCTCCAGTTTTTGTCTGTCTTTCAGAGCCCTGCAAAGGGAACATGAAGCAGGAGTTAAAACACATCCTCTAATACATCTCCCTCCAAATGGAATCAGCTACACGTGAAATCTTGCTAGCAGCCATGTCACTAACCACTTCATCCATTATTAGAGAACCTAGCTAAGTATCTCAGACATTGTTAAAGAGACAAGGTAAACAAGTCTTAACAGAAGCTTTCAGTGCCAGCAAATTCTGGATTGCTTAAAGCAATGCAGTTGGGAAAATAGAGATTCTCCTCCCCATGAACAAAAACGTTATGGGCAGTCAGTCAGCAGTTAAAAGGCACTCCAGCTTTTAGATGCCAACTGCCATCTAAAGCCCTTCCTATCAGCAGAACAAGAGCAAACAGCAACACTGCAATTATTTTAAGGAGTTGCATAGAGCATCCTATACACACATCACATAAATAAGTTAAAATGCATTCAAATAAGTTGAATGCCCTTAGTTTCACTTTTTCTGCATCTTCCCCAAAGAAAAGGTACCTCAGTGCAAACCTTGGGCTAAAGCCCAATTACAGCAGTACAATTACATTGGTTCAAAGTGTGACACTGAGGGAAGGAACCTGCAAGTGATGAATAACATGGTCGCAACCCTCTGGAAAAACCTCAACAACCCAAACCAAATTCTTGCCAAAGAGCTGGCTGGTCCTACTCACAGCAAGATCAACGAGGTGCAGCTTGCCCATGCGCACGTGCATGTTGCCATCTACGCCCTTCTCACTGCACTCAATGGTGATAGTGAAGATGGCGTGCGAGCGAGAGCTGTGCTCGTTCATGTTTGTGGCACCAACAGAACCTTTTAATAGAGAAAAAAGCAGTGATGTCTTCAAAGTTAATCACATCTTCCTCTAACTCTTCCTGCTCTCAGAGGAGACTCATTCCCACCTCTTTACCCAACCCTGTATTCCAGAAGATGGCAGAGGTATGCTCAGACTCAGCAGCAAAGTCTGTTCTTGGGCACTGAAACTGCAGTACACTTCCAACCTGCACTAGGTCCTGCAGCCTGCTATAGCTCTAAGCCAACCACAGACTGCCAAGACCACCAACTGTCCTCATCTGTTTAAAGATCAATACCTTAAGGTGTTCACACTAGATCCCTGAAACAGTTGTATTTTGGGAAATAAGAACACAGCAATCCATGCCAAGGACAACAGGAGTCAGAACCTTAAGTCATTCAATAATCTGAGCTTAACTAAGAAGTCTTCCAGAACACAAACTACCTCCCACTTGCAGCATAGGGCTGATGTTCATCCTGATCAGAACTGAAGTGGAAAAAGGACCAAGAGACACACAAGCAGTTCTGACAACACTGACTGCACTCACTGCATCCTTCCTTTGCTGATCCCCACTGGCACTGGCTGATGTGGGAAGCACAGCCCTCTTTACCTTCTTTACCTTTTGGCCCTGCACAAAAGACAATTGAGAGGAGATACCCTTTTTGCTCTGTTCAGCCAAACACTCCTCCCAGCAACAGGACTAGGACCTCCTACTGCAGTCTGGCAACCAGACCTTTACTCTGTCTGAGCTATAAACCTGCCCACAGCAAGGCTACGTACGGTTCTTGTGGCCCAGAGTCATGATTCTGTCCATATCATCTGCATTGTTTACAACATAAGCTGAAAGGTCTTTGATATAAACTCCCACATCAGGTCTCTCTTTCACCTAAGAGAGAAACAGTTCAGACTAAGCATCCCTAGGAGATCCCCGACAGCAATTCTAGTAATACTGTAACAGTATAGTGGTTTACTCCTCCATTTTCTGGCTTGCACATCCACTTAGAATCAGAGCAGATAAGGAATAAAGACTCATGCATGACAATATGCTACAGCTTTCCTCTGAGGGAAAGACATGATTTTAAATCCCAGTCTCCAATTCTCAGGATTCCTGAGGGACCTTTGGGGTAGAACTGCAGGTATTAAACTGCCTCAGGTGGAACAGCCAATTTGTGCAGCTGACCAAGTGGAAGAGATTCAAAGAAGCCAGCAGTGACATCCAGCTATTGCATTGCAAAGGAAAGAGGACTGCTGAGGAGCCCAACCTCCCACTTCCCTGCAAGTGCTTCTCTGAACTTTAAAAGAGAATATTGCCCTGATTCAAAACAAACACCACATTCAGGAGAGGAGGCTCACCTCTAACCTCTGCGTCTGGTCCTTTCCCAGCAGGTCCCGCACTTCCTCATTGTAAATTTCCAGGTAAGAGACACGAACTAAAAACCTGCAGATGAACAGCTGGGTAGTAGCAAAACATTTGCTGAAGTCCCACAAACACAGTCACAGAGTACAAAGAAAACAGTGAAATATCAACACAGTCCTACTGCCCCTCAAGAACTACCTAAGTGGGAGCCTTTCATCTTGGAAGAATACTATTTCTGTTGTCATTGTCAAGGTCAGGCTCCTGCTACACATGGACTCACATTAAAAAAAAAAAACAAAAAAAACAAAACCAAAACCGCAAGCAGTCAAGGGAAGGCATTTACCTTGTATCTCCCTCTGCCTTGGCAATGTGACCAAATATATGGGCAAAAGAATTGGGAATGATGCCTCTGAGCTCAGGAACTGCTCGGACCCCTTCCATGGTGAAGGTTTTGCCCGTTCCAGTCTGTCCATATGCAAAAATAGTACCTGAAGGATAAAAGAAAAAACTCTTAAGAGTTGAGTCTTCTCGAAACTCTAACTGCAGTTTTACTTCATCCCTTCTTAGCCTGACAGCACCGAACACCTCTATTTTTATGGAGTCAAATTTTTCCACCCACTCCAGTAGCTACTGGAGTACAAGGCTGGAGCAACAGACATGCTGGGCAAATACAGCAAACAGGACCTATCTGCTGCTTAATCCAGCTTGCAGGATGTCTAATAAAAAGTCAGCTTGTTTTAAAAGTGCAGAGTGACTAAAGCATGGAATGCTAGTACACTTCAGTTCCACTGGGTACTGAAATTGTACAGTGAGGAGCCAGTGAGAATTCTGATAATGACATAAGTGCATATCTTTTCCAAAGAGATGATAAAAGGATAAAAACACGCAGCTAACTGGCCTCAGTGGAGCCTCCTTTATCACCCATCTACCACTGTTAATGACAGTAGTGGGTACAAACACGGAGCACTCTAGCAAGTACCCTCAGGCTATTTTAAGTTAGAGGCCACAACAGAAATGATCTGAGACTACAGCCCTCAGAAGGTGAAACTCCCTTAAACAAGATCACCAGGAATTTTATCAAGGTAAAGAACAGGAGATAGGATGGGATCCTTCCCTTACAACAAGGACTTACCATTGTATCCCTCTAGAACAGAATCTATAATAGGTCTTGCTGTTAAATTATAAACATCCAGCTGTTTACTCTCTGGTCCAAACACCGTGTCAAACGTGAATGTCTTCGGAGGCTCGTTGGACGAGTCTGTTTTATGGACAGTTATAGTTCCCCTCATCTCATCCACATTCACTGCCATTTTGTAGCCCGTCGCTTTCTCCCGGTCATTGAGAGGCCGGCAGCGCACAACCACCTTGACATTGTCACAGCTTTCCGGCTTGTCCGGCTTCTCAGGCTTGTTAATCTGTAATTATTTTAAACAAGTATGCAGGCTGTAGCACTAGTGTTAACACAGAATCACAGAAAGGGTTGGGGTGCAAGAAACTCAGTTCCACCCCCTGCCATGGGCAGAAACACCTTCCACTGAAGCAGGTTGCTCCAGCCTGGCCCTGAACACTTCAGGGATAAGACAACCACAGCTGCTCTGGACAACCTATGCCATGGCCTCACCACCCTCACAGGGAAGAATTTCTTCCCAACAGCCAATCTAGCCCTGCCATATCCCACTATAAAACTACTGTGTGTTTAAGCACAAATACTGTTGAATCAGCTTGGGCAGCTACATCTCCAGAGGATCAAGAACTTGGGGACTTAAAACCAGGACTGGTTTATTATTAAAGCTGAGAGAATAACACACTTATTCAGGCAACAGGATCTTCTTTGGTTGGCCAACATTGAAACTGAATGATTAAACCTTGAGCATTTCACATTGAACACCATCTAAGAATTTTTCAAGAAACAATTTCACCTTGCAATCTGCAACAAGCTTAGTGGAATTCGGTGCAGCCATGCCATTCTTTTTCAGTAACACTGACTATACACTCTCAAACCTCACAGAGCACACAGCCAGATACCAGGGAGTGCTGGCTGAAGGGAATTCATTTTAATTACAACCCTCAGTATACATGCTTAAGTTTAATCCCTTAGAATACCTGAATGTTGTATTATAAAACGCCACATTCATTTTCTTTCATGTAGTTACCAAAACAAATTTTGAATCACGGCTGACAAATCTAGTTAAGAGACACTCCCATGGGCTAGAGGTGCTGCACCTGAGCATTGTAACTGCTCCTACAGCAGCTATACTGGATGTCAAGCCGAAACAAACCCTTTCCCAGCGCCTCTCCCTCCAGCTGCCACCTGCCCCGATTCCTCCCAGGCCTCAGCAGCGGCGTTTGCCGCCCTGCTGAACGCTGAGAGCGGCTCAGCCCCACCTGGGCGGGGTAGGGACAGCACACGAGGCGCCAGCCAAAACCAGGAGAGGGGTCCGGGTGTCTCCACGAGCCACCTGGGATAAAGGACGGGACCCTCGGAGGCGGCCGGACCTCCCCTCAGCGCTGTCAAGGCGCCGCCCGCATCCCTCATCACCCCCGCCCCGCTCGGCCTGACGGCACCGCCCGCCCCGCGGCTCCTGCGCGCACATGGGAACGGAGGCGGCGGGCTCTGCACCCCCGGGCGCGGCGGGCAGAGGGGCGCAGTGCCCGGACGGCGCCGGGGGCCGCACCCCGCGTCCCCCCCGCGTCTCACCGGCATGGCGACAGCGATGGCGGCCGCGGCAGCGCGGGCCCGGCGGCGGCACCGCGGAACAATGACAGCACCGCGCCTGCGCCGGCCCGCCCCGCGCCCAGCCCGCGGCCAACGGCGGGCGGGGGGCGGGGCCTGGGGAGCTCAGCCAATGGCGGCGGAGCGCCCGCGGAGGCGGGGCCCCCATCGCCATGGGAACGGCGGGGGGGCGGGGCGCGCTGGGCACGGCCCGGGGACAGCGGGGACAGCGCGGGGCGGGGGCTCTGAGGGGCTGACGGGGCTCCGGGCGGGGCCCGACGGGCTGTGAGGGGCTAACGGGGCTCCAGGCGGGGCCCGACGGGCTCTGAGGGGCTGACGGGGCTCCGGGCGGGGCCCGACGGGCTCTGAGGGGCTAACGGGGCTCCGGGCGGGGCCCGACGGGCTCTGAGGGGCTGACGGGGCTCCGGGCGGGGCCCGACGGGCTCTGAGGGGCTGACGGGGCTCCAGGCGGGGCCCGACGGGCTCTGAGGGGCTGTGAGGGGCTGACGCGGCTCTGAGGGATCTCCAGCGGGTTTGACAGGGCTCCAGAGGCTCTGACAAGACTCCACTGCTCTGGAAGGGCTCCAGGGCGTCTGAAGGGGCTCTAAATCTCCGGCAGCGCTGCAAGCCCCAAGGCTTGCTGTTCTCCACACAAGGAAGAAAATCCATCTCTTTTTCCTGACTGTAATGTTTTGAATTGCTGGTGAAATAGAGGGACTGCAGAGTAACCTAATATAAACAAACAGTACAGTCCAAGTGGCACATAAATTGGTTAGTCCTGCACTAATGAGGCACATTTCCAAGTTACTTGTTATTTAGCATAAAGTTTCACAGCATACTGCAGGGATCCTCCACCACCTCACCTGCCCCTCCTACTCGCAGTATTTCAACATCACACTGTCCATGTGTCACTTACTTATAAGAATTAGATTAAATTATTCCAACAATGTGACTTTGTCCTTTCATAAACTGTCCTTAAGAGTCAAAGACAATTTTACTCAACAGGAGAGATCCATTAATAGTTTCCCCAGTACCTGATGCCCTGAATCACACATGTCTCGCTCCCCCAGCTATTTCTGCACACCCAAATCCTGTTGGCAGGTCACAGAGAATTGTTCCAGTCCCACTCCTCATTGCCTTTGCTGTGGACCACCGGAGCCTGGTGTCCCTGGGCAAGGCCAGGAATTCCCAGCGCCGAGCACCGGGCACAGACACAATCCAGGGCTGTAGCTCGGCTGTGCTGTATTTTTGCTGGAGGGATGTAAGCAGGAGCAGGAATGTGGACAGAGCTGATCTGTACCTGGCGGAACTCCCCACCGAACTGACCGGTGTATCACAGGGCCGGGCACACACAGGAATGACAGGACAGGGCCATTCCCTCAGCCCCAGGTGTGTGCAATCAGCTGAGTAAGGAAGCATGAAGACCAGCATTTGGCAAAGTCTCTTTGCTCCTTACACACTGCCGCGGTGTTACGCAGAGCTGTGCTGCACGCACAGATTCCTGGACTAATAATTTAGCACCAGGAAATGTATAGCCCAAGGGGCTGGTGAGAGAACAGAGTCATGTGTAGGCGGGCAAAGCTGTGGAACGAGAAAACGTTTAATGTAATACATTAGAACCAGCTTCCTGCAGAAAATACTGCAGGGGTGTGAGAACCCCGGGATTGCTTCAGGGGTCTCTCATGTGGTGGTAAAGTCTCTCCTCCAACCTGTGTTTCCAAAGAAAGACTCCGCAGCCTCTTGTTGTTCGGTCTCAAGGCAGTTTATTGCTGGTTATCTAAAAGATTGTCTTTGCCCCCTGCGGCTGCTTTGGTCAGCGGCCCAGGCAGAGACACACACACTCCTGACACCCTCACTGTCCGGTGTCTCCGTCGTCTCTCTCCCCACCCAGGGCTGCTGCTATCTTTTATATGATATATTACGTATTATATGTTTACAGATTTTCCCCAATACCTACTATCTATGTTACAACGTGCTTTTCTACTCTAAACCAATCTGCGAGTGCCAGCATCACCAAGAACATGGAGGTAAGGAAGAAGAAGGAGGAAGAACAGGATCAGGCCCACTTTCTCCATCTTAGAACTCCTGACCCCCCTGTACAAAGTAAAACCCCCCTGTACAGGTGTTAAAACCCCCCTGTACAATACTAAAAAATTTTCCCCTCTAATTTGTAATTACTTCTACTATACCATCTAACCCTCTGTGACAGCTTGTTTCACCTTCAAAGTTAGTAACTCATTCCATGGCTCAAACTCAAAATCCCAGCTGTTTTCAGCTGTTTGCCAGGGTCTAAAATGCTTCTGACCAAGGCCTGAAACCTCTGAAAATGTCTGAGGGACATTTTGAGTTCCGACACAGGAGGAAAACAAAGTGGTCCAGGATCTGAGGGGAAAGCTGAGAGTGGCTTTGAGATACAGAGTGGAAGAAAATGTGGGGTGAAAACACAATTGCTGGCAGAGAGTTCCAGCCCTCTGAGTGCATATGCTCCTTGAAGCACATAGAGAAAAGATACTTCCTGTGACTGGAAGGAAAATAGGTCCTGACGGGTGCTGGGACTGTGTGGAATCCAGCCAGTGTGTGTTTTGGAGAGGGCTGAGTTGAAGGGAAGGGACAGCACATCTATCAAAGCAATAACCGCTGCCAGAGAAGGGGCAAGTGGATTTGGGGGCTGTGCTGAAGGTTACAGTGTTTATCACCGCGGCAGAATTTCATTCGGATCCGGGAGCGCTTTGATCTCTGCACAGGCAGGACAGACCCACTCGGGCCGAGACAGCGCTCAGCTGGGCGGTCCCCGAGAGACCGCGGGTGTCCCAGCCGAGCCGTGCCCCGGACATCGGGCACCGAAGTTCCTGCCGAGGCCCCCGCAGGTACCGGCCCCGCTCCCCTCCCTCCGGGCCGGTGGAGCCCGCGCCGAGCCCCGTGCCCCGTGCCCGGTACCGCGGAGAGGCGGGTCAGGACGGGTCGGGTCGGGTCGGGTCGGGTCGGGTCGGGTCGGGTCGGGACGGGGGTCCCCATCACCTCCCGGGCGCTCTGCAGGGCTGGAAGGGCTGTCTGAGCGCTGGCGGTGCGGGAGCTGCTCGGTATCGTTCTCAAGGACAGTCGAAACTAGCCAAAGGGCGAGATTTTAATTATTATTTCCCCCCTCCAGCTACACAAGAGTAAATGTCTCAGTGCATCAAACCGGTCAGATAAATCATTGCCAGCTCTCCCTCTGTGAAACGGTCCGGCTTTTGGATGCTCTGACATCCAGCGGCAGCTGAAGTTAGTCATATGTGGTTCCTGCTTCCAGGGAAACCACACAGAGCTCCAGCTTTAGAAATGTAGAGCAGTTTCCAGAGGATTCATGTCACTTCGGGTTTTTTAATGGAATTGCAAAGATAATGGTGTGAGCTTCCAGAAGAAAACTGTGAGGAAGCCCACATTCACCACTCCTTGGAAAGAAAAGCAGAAATTTTATATCTAGTAACATCTTTTTTCTGTTGTTAAAGAGACACCAAAATGTAAGCCTTGAAATAGTTTCAGGCTGGATGTTCTCATTCACTTAGTATTGATATGATTCAAAGCTGTTTATTTCCTGTAAATACTCCCCTTATTCTGGAGAGGGGGATTTCCAAAGTAGTACCTCTGAGAAAAACTTTTAATTGGGAATTCATAAACCTCCTAAGAACAGTAATCTTTGACCCTTGTAAGGAAACCATAAGCCTCTATTTGCCAGAAACTTGAAATCAGGTGATAACATGTTGCAGAGTAATAGCTCGGCAAATGGAGAGCCAAATGTGTGAAACAGGATAAATGGAGTAATCTGGACTGCTTGATCCAAGGTTTCTCTAGCCATTACACAGCTCAGCAGTGAAGAAGCTGGACTGTGCTGTTGTTCAGCCATCTGACATGTTTTCTTTCGTCAGGAATTCCAGGGAAAATGCGTATCAGGATTGCTCCATCTGCAAACAAACAAGTCCTATGGCTCCTCCTCAGTTTTCAGCACTGGCAAGTACAGCTGTGTCTAAGTACAGCTAGAGCCAGATGGGCTGGGCAACACGAATGAGCACTTTAAACTGCTCCAAAACGAGCCCTTGCCCTCCCTCTGTGGACACAGCTGACAACTTCCTTAATTTCAAGCCTCCAGCCATCTAAAATGCTAATTAGAGCACTTTAAAAATTTGAGTCTTCCTTTGGAGATATGTTAACAAAATCATCAAAGCACTAACTGTATTTTTCTTCTAACTTTTCCTTCCCCTCAGGGCACAGATATTTCTCTGCCAGGTTACAAAAAAGCAGTTCTCTGGATTGCAGAAATCAGCTCCCAGTTCCAGCTTTACCCATAAACGTTCGCCTTAGCCACCAGCATCTTTAACAGGCTGTTGGCATCAGTAAAGGTAAAGATTTCTGTCAGCTTTTCCCTGCCTAGATTACTGACTGGGAACATAAGGAGCATGTAATCAGTTTATACACAAAGCAGGGATGATGTTTGGCAGCAGATTTAGGGAGCAGTCAGGGTTGTTGCTGGGAAAGGCCATTAGGCAAATATATATATATATACACACGTATGAACTTGAGGGTTCCACTGACCTCATTAGGATTGTTTGTGTGAACTTAGTCCAATTGCTGTGGTAAGTACAAAGAACTCATCTGGTTTTCTATGCAAAACAGAAATTATTCACATTATCAGTTTTAATGTTCTGGGTTTTAGACTACTATTTTAAATTAAACTGTCCTTTTCTGACACAGAGGCTACAGCAAAGGTAGGAATTGAGCTGAGCCTTGCAGCTCCCAGTTCTATATAGGTTTATACCAGCATATAGAATCACAGAATCACTGAGGCTGGAAAAGGCCTCTAAGATCATCGAGTCCACCATTTGACTGATCAGCACCCTATCAACTAAACCATAGTACTAAGTGTCACATCTAGTAGTTTCTTGAACACCCCCAGAGATGCTGACTCTCCCACTTCCCTGGGCAGCCTGTTCCAATGTTGATTAGCCCTTTCCATGAAGAAATTCTTCCTGAAGTCCAATCTGAACCAATATATGAAAGTGAGGAGCAACACTGCAGTGTAAATACTGTGACAGTGCAGAGTCTAAAAGTTGTGAGAGGCATGAATAAAAATGGCATCTACAAGAGGATTTATTCTGCTTCACTTTGAATTTCCTTGTTCTGTTTCCAGCTTCTGTAGATAAACTAATTCAGAAGCAACTGTAACTTAAATGAAAGTTTGAAACTTGTGTATGTATCATAGAATGACAATTATCTCCCCCAAGACTCTTATCTTCTTTACTCAGTGTTTTCTTCTTCTCCCTTCAGGCCCAATTAAAATATCTGCAGTGCATTCCAATTTCCTGCCTTGTCCTTGCAGCAAAAACTAATGAAGATGAGGTCTGTACGTTTCATTTTAAACACACTAAAAGTTGCTCATATCCAGGTCTTTCAACAGCTTTGACATAATGAAAAAGTGTCAATTTGTTTACCCTATGTAGTCCTAAAGAGGTGAGAATAGCATTTTCAGTCCTATTTCATAGTTGCTCTGAAGAATTGTGACCTTTAGGGATGAAGGACTTGTTTTTGTTTATGTCACAGATGTGTTTCTGTCCTGCTCCCAAACCTCTCTCTCCTCTTTTCAGAATCCATGGCTGACAGCAGAGCTTAGTCTGAGGGGACAGTCAAGATGCACATCAGAGGACTGTAATTCCCATGCTATAGCTCCTGGGAGGGCACAGCAGGTGTGACAGAGCAGAGGCTTTTCAGAGGAAGCTTTAAATAGATGAGTTTGCTCAGAGCTAAAACTGGTCTCTGAACCACTCAGCAACTGACTCAGGTCTGCACCTCAAGATGAGAAAGTAAAGTCAGCAGCCAGTGAGAAATTACACAGGATATCTCTCATGGTAAAATGAAGTGATAGACTTCTGCAGGCATTTACAAGCATTCGCTAAAAGCACTTCAGATTGCATGCCTCCTCTTTCCTTCCTTCTGCTTTGCAGAAGAAGAGGAAAGCCAGGAGCTGGAGTCAGTTATACACATCTCTTCAAACAGCCACTATGGCAGTGAAATGTTCTTCACAGCCTTTCTTAGGTGGTGTTACAATTAAGTTATTGTTCTTTTCCACTCAGCTGCAAAGGATAAACTGTGTCAATGACCACAGGAAACAAGACAACCACAGCAGGCCCTGTAAAACCGGCTGCCAGGAAGCCTCCCTTGAGGAAGACTACTGGCAGCAGGGAAGGTGCAGCACTGATGCCACACTGGGGAGGCTTGCAGCATCACTCTTGCTGTGGGCTGGGTCTGCAGCAGCTGCCCTGGGGTCAGCAGGGACCACTCTTCATTTAGGATGGAAGGTACCTAGGATGAGATCTCCTGAATGAGCAGTCTGCTTAACAAAAACTTGTGTAAACTTGTCAGATCCCTTCACAATACAGAGAAGCACACACAGCACTGTATAGGACATTGGTTTCTTTATTTTTTTTTAATTTTAAAAATTTTTTTACAGGTAATACCATCAGTGCAGACGCTAGCGGTGCAGAGCAGATGTAAGCACTCTCCAGCCGAGATCTTGAGAATGGAAAGAATTATACTGGATAAGCTTCAGTGGGATCTTTACACAGAAACACCAATGGATTTCTTAAACATTGTAAGCACTATGTTTTGCAATGTTTTTTCTTTAAAGAAACAACTCCTTATCAAATAAGACTAAAAAACACAGATGCACACACACACCCACTCACACATCCTTCCCAAGATGCTTGGCAAACTACCTATTCCTACCTATCTTCAAGCCTTTTAAAGAATATTACAGTAATTATATTTTTAAATCTTTTTTAAATTTTCTACTATTTAAAACCTTCTATTTTGCTCAAAAAAACTTCCTCTCATCTTTAAAGGAGAACTGAAGGGACATTAAAAAGATTCTCATAATGCGCAACTATATGCCTTCTTTATTTTTTTTAAATACAAGCTGCAAAAATATTTCTAACTATTTCCCTTCTATTAATACTGTACATACAAAGCTGTCAGAGTTTTGCTACATTTCCCACATAGGTTTTTTCTTAAACCATTTTCCTTTTCATCCCACTAATTATTCATATATGCAATGAGAATACCCTGGTCTGGCACTTAGTTCACATTGCAGTTACTAAACATTTAATAGAAACAATTAAACTTTGTCTTCAAAAAACGATCATGTACTAGTAAGGCAAAATTCATGTGATATGAACATATCCTGGATCCCTATTTTAAGGTTATGTGCAAATATTAAGCCATTTCAGGCTGCTGATTGTGAAAACTGCCTTTCGTAGGTCCTTGTTTCCTTGGTGAATTCAGAGTGCAGTATTACTGGTTTTACTGGATTTGGAGCTGCTGTCCTGAATTGAATATCCTGGATAGCATTCTGGATAATGTAAAAAACCTCAGAAATTACTAGGAAACATAGACCTCGTACATTCATTATCACCTCAAAAAAACAGTTCAATGATTGGCAAGTACAAACACAAAACACACAAAAAAAAAAAGATGGGGGAAGCCTTCAAGTTTCCTGATATGAGATGAAATTCATCTGTACTTCTGGGTGATGACATGAAAACATAAACTCCACTAACCTTTGCTTTTCTTTTCATATATATATGTGTGTGTATATATATATGTACACTTTATCTTCTCTGCAGTTCCATGCCAAGGTGATGTCCAGCTGGCCCCATCTCCCACCCAGACTGCCTCAGAGGAATCCTTCCCTCCACGTTGCACTCTTGACCAAGCAGCTGCAGCACTGTATGGCCTGCCACCAACTTGTGCAGTTTAAGGGCTCCACGTTGGTTTTGGTGATCATCACCTTGGAGCTGGAGAGGCAGACTCCTGGTTGGTTTGTTGTTATTACTGATCTGCTAAAAAAAGCACAGGTAGGAAGCAAAATGGCCTTTGGTCACAAATCCTGAAGGCAGGACATGATAAATGAATAAAGCCACATGTATTTACAGCCAGTATTGCACTTCAGCAGCTCCTGAGACTTGTGTCCTTCTGCCTTTGCTGCAGACCTTGCTGGTGCTAACAAAAGGGAACAAAAGTGCAGTTCAGGGGTGGGACTGGGGAGAGGGACATCCCTTTGGCAGGGAAGGGAGGGTTCCAAATTCTTGACCACAGATAGCTGCCTGCATCCTAAGCCAGGAAAAATTATCTCATAATGGGAGAGTCTGAGAGCACCTAGAAATATGCCCAGTTTCCTCAGCCTCCCTGTGAAAACAGAGAAAACTTTTAAGTACAGTCACATAGCTCTAAAAATATGTTTGACTTCTAATGATTCAATACAAGCTCATTTTTTTTTCCTTTTTTAAAAAAAGTTTTTCCCCAGTTTCATAAAACACATGCCTTTTAAGAAAGCACACTTAGAAGGCTAAAGACCCAGGCTGTCAGCTTGCCATCCACCTATTTTAAGGTCTTGAATTTGTCTGAAACAACCTGGCCTCCTGCTATCCCTGCTGCCTGCTGTTTCCTGCAAAGAGGAAGCACTTGCCCAGTTTCTGTGTAGTAGAAGGAGTAATCATAGTTATAGGAGGAGTTACCAGGAGCTCTTGGATAAGTGCTTTCCATCAGGATCAACAGCATATTGCTGCTATGCATCTACTGAGACATACAGCCTGTCCCTAATTACAAAGTGACAGGAGCAGTGGCCAGACAAGAGAGTAATTTATCCAGAACTTAAAATAAATCTGCATCTTTCTTTACAGGTGAACAGCACTGAATTCATCCACTGAAAAGAGCTTGTGGATCTCAAGTTAATGTGCTTGCAGCCACCCAATCCTGTTCATATTTTCTATCCCATCAGCCAAGCTGTGCTGGGCCATCCCAAGGCAAGGCTACCCTGCCATCTCCCTTCTGAACAGAAAAGTTCCCAACAAGGGAGGTTGAGGGTTGCTGAAAGCCAGCCTGTTTCACTTACAACACCTTTCACACCTGCTACAGCCCAAATTCCTGATCAAACCGCTGAGACTGAAGAATGCTGGGATGGATTCAGACACCTGCACAGTGAGGAAGGGGAAGGGAGTGCTGGGAGGATGAACACAGGAGGCTCGTGCCCTCAGCTGAGCTGCCCCTGTCCTCCCCTACAGCCACCCGAACAGGACTAGTGGAGAATTACTGCCTTGGAAGCAGCACCTGCAGAACCAGCAGGTCCCAGCAGACAGAACAGCCAAAAACAACAGGGCAAAAGTGTCACTGTGCTTCTCAGAGGATAAAGACAGTTTGTATTATCAGTCTACTTTTTATGTCCTTCCTAAGCAGTGTGTGCTACCCCACAGTTTTAAGATTATGTAAAGACAGAAGCTGGGGAGGGGAGGGACTTGGTCACAGTCCTGCAACCCAGGGATCTAGTTGGCAGGCAGCTACAAACTTCATGGAGAGCCAAATGCCTCAGAGTTTATTTTTAAAACAGCCATGATGAAGTTTGACAGATTGAGCCTTTCATCCAGCTCATACCATTGTTCTCTCATTAGAGCTAATCTGGCTCGGCCCATGGGAACTGAACAGGAGCTGCTGTCGAGGAATGGGCAGCCCCCACTGCTGCCTCTGCAAGAGTTCTCAGATGGAACCAAGGTTCTGATTCAGCAGTGAGAAGCTTGAATCAAACCTCCAGTTTTCCTTAAGGCCTTACCTTGTAATCCAGGGGCCTGGGATCTGTTTTTTCCTGCTTAAGCCATTACAGTCTCTATCACAGTTCCTATGAAATGTGGGAGATTACTTCTTGTCTACAATCACCCTTGCCTTGGGCTCTCACCAGCATGTGCTAGTCAGGGTTTTAAATTTTATTCTGTTTTACCAGACTAGACAAAATAAAATGCCTTTAATAATTCCCCTCCACCACTACAACCACATTATTTCTTAAAATTGCTTAATCTTCATAGCAAAGTGGTTTCACAAAGGTCAGATTAAATCACTCTTGCACTTTAAAAAATCAGCTTCACACATCCTTTTAAAATTAGTGGAGGTTTTGTTTTAAACAGTAGGCATTTTTAGGTGATTGTTACCCTAGCTTGAGGGTATAATCCAGCCAGTATGGGATGGGTAACAGCACCACACCTGCCATCCTGCCACAGAAGAGGAGGGGGGTTCATATGGACTGGCACAGGCTAAATACTGAGCAGGTGCCTCATGTAATGACATGGGATAAATAACTTGGAGACAGAGATGGGACAGGAGCAAGGAGACAATGCTGACAGCAGAGCTCATCAGTGCAAGAAGAAAGTTTCTGGCCTTCTCCCCTTCTTCATTGTCTTATCCTGTAGGAGAGGAATTCCTGGACCAACCATGCAGGACTGATGTGCTGAGCAGCTGTTCACACTTTCTCAAGTGTTAAACTTGCCAGAGTGAGCTCTGTGTGTGCAGGGAGAAAGCAATGCAGCTCTTGAAACCACAAATGAAGTCCCCAAGCATTCCAGTAACATCCAGTAATGGAGATTTAGTGCAAATAACCTGTGTGAACAGACATGACTTGAACCAGCTGTGAAAGCCACAGAATACCCATGAGCCAGGTCAAAGCTGCCTCAAGCTGTGGATGCTGTGCTGAGGGGGGGCCCTGCCCAGGCCTGGGATGCTGCAGGAGCAGAACTTGGAGCTGGCTTAGACCCCATGAGGTTTGTGAGGTCCCCACAGACTCAGGGGTCAGGCAGCAGCATGCCTGGAACATTTATGCTGCCACAGGGAAAGTTCTCATTTAAAAGTAGGGCTCTTCCCTCCTCCTGAGCAGTACCTTCCTTTTCTCTCACAGGCTGAGTTGACTGCTTGGCTTTTGGAAGGAGGTGAGTTGTGTTTTATAGTTTCCACTAAATAAAACATAAGCTTGGTCTGCGTGTTCTCTGTGGCCCTGGGATAGCCCAGCTGAAAGGTGATGCCCACACCACTCCCTGCAGAAAACTGGGTTGTGATGGGCTCTGCTTCCCTCCCATCCCTTTGCCTTATCTCAAGCACTGTCACCAGTTGTGTGTACCCATGGAAATGCCAGCAGCAGAGCTCTACACACAGTAATTAACATGCTGTAACTACACAACAATCAGAACTTTGTGTTTTCCCCTCACAGCTGTGAGCCATGGACACAGTTCTTGCCTACAGGTGGATGATGTGTTAAAACCTGTGAACAAACTTGCTTTTCAAAATCTCTGCAGATCTCTATGAACATGCAAAAGTATACATTAATAGGGGTTAATTCTAAAAATAAAGGCAGTGCTGGAAGGCCCTTCAGGGCTCCATGCTCCCAGTCAGGGTGCAAGATGCTATACTGGGATGGGAACAGTTCACCTGGAGCCTGCCTGTGCTCCCAGGACACACTGCTGCTTCTCTGGCAGTACAGCTCCCTCCCACACACCTATTCCAGCACTGTAGCTACCAAGAAGAAACAAGTATTTCTCTGTCTTGACTTTAACAGGCTAAAAATGTCACTTACCTTTTCATTCTGCCATTGCTCAGAATGGAGCTTCCTACCTCAAAGAAAGCTGCCAGTACAGGAAGGAGCTGCTCTTGCACAGGACCATTCTTGTTACAGAAGGAGTTTTTTTGATAGTGAGAATAGCACCACTTCTCTTTTTTTTCTTGCAGAACAGGGTCCAAAGCTTTAATACCTTTTCCCTCCCTGTCTGGGCAAGTAATGAGTGACAAGAGGAACACTCCCCACCCACAGCAGTGACAGGAACAATTATTTTGCCCAGTGAGTTTCAGAGAGGATGACAGCCCATCTGTGTGCCTACCTGTTGGGACTGTGTGTACAACATGAGTTTATTCCAACTGCAACTCAACTCACCACTGCAGATCCCATTTGCTACACACCAGTTACTGGTGAAAATGTGCCAGATTCAGTGAGTGCTGGCACAGGTCTGATGTGATTATGGCTAGCTCTGTGAGGATTGTTGTTTTGGGGAACATTCACTCCCAGAAAAATTACAGAGAGTGCTTACAGAGTATTTTCAAAGAGCTCTGACCTGGTAAGGTCCGTTCCCTTGGGGGATCTCAGCCCAGGTGAGGCATACTTCTCAAACCAACCAGACTCTTCTTCTTGTTGCCTCAATTCAGGGATGCCTGAAGCCACCACCAGCTTGTAAACAAAGCTGCAATTACACCTGAGATCCCCTATGGTAAGCACCCACAGAACTGTTTTCTGTGGCTGTTTTAAACCACTTACAGAAACAGCAAAGCATTTCATGTCCTCCCATCCACCACAATGTCCCCCATTCATAACCCCCAGCTAAAGGAACCACGTCACAGCTCATGCAGTCGCCCAGGAACTATTGCAGGTGAGGAGGGAGCTGCCCCATTTCAAGACAGCACTCACTGGGGTGTGTCTGACAATAAACCTGACTCAGTGTCACTAATTGTGGAGGGGATGACCTAGGAGAAGAATTCATTTACACAGTTGCACAAATAAACAAACTCCTGTGGTGAGAGAATTGACCAAGAGACAAGAAAACTGCAAAGGGAAGAATAATGCAATAGTTATACCTCATTTGTGGCATTGCATCTACACAGCTGTTGGGTTTTTTTTCTCCTGCTAATTGACTTTGGCATGTTAAATAGAATTTGAGCAGTACTTACAGTTCAATTCTTTAGGAAGGCAGAACAGTGCACTGAGATGGAGAGATGCATTAACTTCTGGCAGGTCTCAGAGCCCCCTCCCATTCCTCCTCAGCAAGACATGCAACTGGAATCCCCCTGGTGACCTAACTATGGTCATGACAAACAGAACTTAATCAAATCTTCTGAGCAATTTGGAAAAAGAACAAAAAGCTTCTAGTCCCAATTCACCTATCCTGCTGGGAATCCAACTTGACAAAAGCTCAAAGCCGGATGAAAGCTTTGCCAAAGGAATTAGAGTGGCTGGCTTCAAAAGAGAACACAAGCAAGTTTAAAACAGTCCTCAAAGCAGCAGCAAAGGCTGTATCATAGCTCAGCCTGCTAGTCACACACAGCTTCAGCTTCCCCACATTCCGTGCAGGGCACCACAGATGTGAACACAGACAGAGCCCTTCTAAGCTGACCTCAGCTCTGATTTCATGGCCCCCAAGACACAGCTGTGGCAGACCCTGGTGCTCCCCACCTGCTCCCACTTCCCCTGACACAAGTGGTGCCTCATCCCTGCCCACCGTGGCAGCAGGGACAGGTAGGGATGAAGAACACGGGATGAACATGTTTGTCATGGGGTTTCATTCCTAATGCATCTCCACAGCTTCTCCATGTGTCTCCTTTTCAGGCCACATACCTGTTACAGCTGCAATCTATTTCCCAGTTCTGCTTTAGGCTAAGGCATCCAGAGGGTTTAGAGACTGTCACTTGTCACACACCCTAGGGACAGGCACTCAGTGCCTGGGGCTGTCAGTACCTCTACACCAGCCTCTCTGTCTCTTGGGGGGTTACAGGGACACAATGTTCCCCATGGGAGCCTCGGAGGGCTCCTGTCACACACACCCCACTCCCCATTCTCAGCCTTTGTCCCACTGTGGTCACACCACCAGCATGAGGTAGGGGCACGGGTGAGACTTCTTCAAACCTCCTGCCAAAGACTGGCTTTTGGCCTCTCCTACTGCCCCAGCCTCGGGGCAGGGGGGAAAAAGGGAGGGAGACTGGGGACAGCAGCTGCCAAGACATAGGGGTGCACAGGGGACATCACACTTTAATCAGAGGGCAATGGGGTTAATGAGGGGAAATTGGGATCACAGAGGGACAGAGGACATTTTTCTGGTTATAGTTGGTGTACAAACCATGGTTTTAACAGATGCTTGTTAAACGAGTCAGTTTTGTTTTTATTAAACCCAGCTTTGGTACAGGTCATTCCTGAGATTCATTTACAAGGTTGTTTAAAACAAAGATAAACTGGGGCCTCTCCCTGTTCCTGTGTGAAGTTACTGGGGCACAGACATCACATTTAGTTTCTCCCCTTTCCTTTTTTTTAAGAAAAGCATTTGTGTAAGGGGAAGTCAGTCTGTTACAAACACAGAACTTACACCAGGAACACCGAGTCTCCAGCTTTAAACCATTTCTCCTCCATTAACAAATAACATTTAGTTGTGCTTTAAAATGGCTCCCTTCTGACCCATCACATCCCAGTGGGATGAGCAGAGCCCAGACTGGCCAGGCAGGGTTACCCGGCCCCAAAGCAGCAGATGGGAGGTGGGCAGGGAGCTCTGGGGAAGGGGTTACGGTGTGAGGCACCACCTGCAGCCCTCAGAAAACTAAAGAGATGGAGGTTGGGGCATTTTGGTTATAAAAACTGTAA